CAAAAAAAATTTTTCAAGTCAAATATATTCTGTCTCCCAGCTTCCAGGATATAGGACTTAGAAAAGCTAAGTTAACCCAGAACAATGCAGTAAATCGTGCTGGGCCAGACTCTGGTATACTGACATCATCTGCCTTTTGAGGTGGACTTTTTGTGGGGAAGGTAAATAGTGAAAGCTTTGTTATTTTTCAGCAGTAGTAGAAAAAGGGCCAGAGAACATTCTATAGGATTTTGGCATCGAGGAGTCATCCTTTTGGTGAGGTGACATTCTCTTCATCTCTTTCTATTAAATCTTTGAGATGGGGCAACTATGGAGATTCCCTCTTCACTTTTGTCTCTAGTCATTTAAGTCTAGTCTAGTCTTACTTGACACTATGGATTCTGAAATCTTTATCTCCCACTTAAATATTTTCCTGAATCATTCATAGATGTCTGAGACTAAGCCTAATCACTATTCTTTACTGTAACAGCTTTCTGTGATTCAGCCTTTAAAAGTGTCAAAAACAAAAACATTAACACCACATCTTCCAAATTCAGGAAGAAAAATCTTATGTTCAATTCACAGTCAATTATAGTAAAGCATAACTAGCATGTGAAAATAATACATGCTTTAAGATAGAAAGGCATTTGTGAATAAATTTGCTCAACAAACTTTTTTTTCACTGTGTGTATCAAAACATATACTATTAGTATGGGCCATCTGCTGGAAGAGAGGAAATAGTTTGCTGTCTAGAACTATATGTGAAATGCCATGTTGGAATGTGCATTGTACTTGTGTTGCAAAGATCTTAGCATGCTTTTTTCTTCCTAAGGTATAACCAAAGGCCAAATTAAATAGAAGCCTTCTGCTCCTTAGAACAAAGAATCGTTTCATTAGCTTGCTATTTCAAAACCCCTTGAGTTTGAAACAGGCTAACAAGTCCAGTTTAATGCTGTCCTGTTCTCACTTATCCCCTGGACTGTCTATCATATAGTCTAGCCAAATGGAATACTACTGTTGCCTTCAGGTACCCTTAAATCTCTGAAGGTGAAGTCCTTGAGGACAAATGATGCTCCTTGTTTTCCTCTATGACTTATATGCTGTAGTTTCAGAGTCATAATTTTTAATAATGAACATTTGGTTAACTATATGCTTGCATTTGTACTCAGAGTCTTAATTCTTCAAACGTCCCATCAAGTTCAATATGGACAGTGTTTCCTAAGAACCTTCAGTGAGGTTTTCATTGTCCTCATTGTTAAGCATGTGAAATAAGGTTGTCTATTCACTTTTTTCTGTATGTTTTAACCACTCATATATAGACTTCACCCCATTTCTACTGACATGGTACAGAAGCTTTTTATCAGACTCTGCTCTGAAAACTGTACCATGTATATTTTTTAGTCCTTATCTGTTAAAGCAGATTATGATATCTATAGCATGGAAAGAAACCAAGATACAGCATATATAAAGAACCAACTTTCAGTATGCAAAGACGATACACAGAGCAGCATTTCTCATTCACTTCTCCAAACTGAGCTCACTGATGAAATGCTAATAGAATTTAGTAATCTACCAACAGTGCCTGCCTCCCTGCCTTCCTCCTCCCTCCCTCCCTCCCTCCCTCCCTCCCTCCCTCCCTCCCTCCCTCCCTCTCTCCCTCCCTCCCTTTTTTCATTTTCTCCCCCTCCCACCTTTTCATAGTGCCCATGAACCAAACCTCAGGCCTTGTTCTTGTAGGCAAGCTCTTTGTTACTAAACTAAACATCCATTACTACCTTTGACTTATTCAATGTTTAAGTATATAGTGGATTTCTTGATAATATTTCTGACACCTTTAACTAGTAAAACTTGTGAAAAATAAAATAGATTATAATCCTGTGCATTTGCATTGTTTTAATTCTTGGCAGTAGTGTAGGTATGCATATCATTCTCTAAGCATTTATATAGAGACTCTGTAATGCTGTAACTTATCCTGAAGAGGTCCCCCAAGATGTAATTTGTTCAGGCTGTTGCTTTAAGGCATCCTTTCAGCCAACAGAATTTAAAATATTTTTGGAAAACCATAAGTTGCTTAAAAATAACAATCTAGATTTGCATTTTTTAAATTCATTCAGATTCTGAAGTTTTTACTGAATTAAATCATGTAATGAAGTAGAGATATATTTGACTCTGTTACTGTGGACTCTTCTCACTTTGAAGACTGTTTTAAATATACATTTAGTTCCATACATTTAGAATTTGAAGGAGCCTAGAGAGCAAAGCGCTTGGATTTTACATAAAATTTGAGTGATGGGATCAGTGAAATTAAAAGCTCCTATGCCTTGAGAAAGATTTACCAGTTTTTACAATTAACGGAAAGATCTCTTTATGGTGCTTCAATGGCTAGTAATGTTGAAAATATAGGGCATCCTTGTTGAGAGTTTTCCTGTGTGTTATAATACTTTTACATTTTAAAAATTAGAGCAACAAGGCAAATCAAGGGTAGCACTACAAATGATGAACTTTGTAGTTTTGATTTTAAGTGGCTGTATAGTCATGTCTACCCAAAAGCTAATCGAGTTTTGCTGGGCCTGATGTTTTCCTGTAACAAAATGTTTCCTTATCCACTTCTCCCTGAAGACTTAAGATTTAAAGTTAGAGTCAGCCAACAGCCCTCATAGTTGTTAGGAAATATGAAGACTGTCTGCCATTCACATTGCTTCATATTCCTGATGAAAACTGTTCCAGTAGCTTTTGTGTGTTATGGCTGTGCCAGATGCTGGGGGCTATGGGAAAGGAGCAAGGCCTAATTATTAATTACATCCAGAGCTCATAGGATAGAGCAGTGTTCTAGCATCATGATCCTTAGCTATGCATTGTTTGTAGACTTGATAAATATTTTGAGAAAAAAACATATTTCCTGTTTAGTAAAATCAGGTGCTTTATCTCCATTTCCTGATAGCAGCCATAATTCTTCAAGTAACATAACTTTTTTGATCTAGTATTTCCCTGGCGTATTTGACATTGGAAGCTTGAGACACATATAAATAAATGCCTCTGGCAGTAGAAACACTCTCCAGCCCATAGTTTTAGAGCCTATCTAGAGGAGCTTTTAACATACGGAGTTCTGTAAAGGCAACAGGAGTCCAGAAAGTTAGATGTGAGCATCGCATGTTGAACAAGTCCTTAACAATGAGAATAAAAAGGACAGGAAGGTCAGGTTAGGGTACATAGGAAGCATAGAATTGAGAGGTATGAATGGAAGGTGAAGGAGCATGGTGTGTGAGGAACCACAACAGCTCAGTGTCATGCTACAAAACTAAGAAATCGTGTTAGGAAAAATCAGCTTTTTTAGATGTGTAAATGACTAAACAACACGACTGACCTATAAAATAGGTAGTAACCTCGAAGTTACAAATGGCTTTATGCTTAGAAAGCTTTGAATTTATTTTTAAAATAGAAAAATATGAGACAAATTATTACAGCCTAATCATTTTCCATGTATGGCAGTTGAGTTCTAATGTTATTCATTTTAAACAGCTGAGTGGACATTTTAATGTAGTATGTTAGGAATAATGTAGTTTTCCTTATACAAAGTTTAAATGAATTATTTTTTTTACTTTGAAATTAATCATAGGATAATCTACCTGTGAAGAAAAACAATCAAATATTTTTAAATTTACAGTCTTGGCTTTTTCCTTCCTGGCATCTATGCTTATAATAGGATGTAGAAAAGTAAAATGTGTGCTGATACCAAATGGAAGTATATGTATAGTCTGGGGAGGAAGCTCAATTGAAATTATGAAGTCTGCCCCTAAAACCTATTCAACAAAAACTGGAACTGATACTGTATACTCTGATCTCAGCTCTGGAGAGGCAGATATAGGCAGATGCCCAGGACTGGCTCTCCAGCTAGCATACCTTACCTGACAAGTTCCAAATGAGAAAAGCAAAGTGGATGACATGTGGAGAGTGGTAGCTGAGATTGTCTTCTGGCCTCCACCTTAGTGGGTTCACACTGGCATGCACTCACACAACAGGACATACACACAAGAGGAAGCAGCTGTACATGTTGAAATATTTTCTAAAGGTAATATACATATGTAATTCTAAATAACAATCTTCATTTAATTTTTTACTATATGTTATAAAGCATGACATTTGAAGATTGATATTATGCTCTGTTTGATAGGTCATTGTTTGTGTAACTGTGGAATGTCTTTAGCTCTTCCAACCATATTTTTACCAAGTTTCTATTTTTTATTGTAAATTATACATTTCATATATATAGCTTTATAACTGGGATTATTAAGTCAAAAAAGGAGGGATGTGTTTACTACTTGACAAATGTTAAAATATTAACTTTTTAAACATACAGCACTTTATGTTTTGCATTTGGAGTGTATCTGAGGGTTTATTTTCTCAGCTTTTGAGAGCAGTCATTGAAAAATGACAATAGCGATGCATAGTGTATGGGTTTAGTAGTTTAGGAGTATACTGACTTTGTTTTTTTTTTCATAATTTTAATGGTAAGTTGTACTCATTAAAATATTTCTGTTTAATACTTTATACTTGACAATATAAGGATTACTTTTGATATGAAGCTTTTTTATTTTTTGAGGTATCCATCACGAATTGAAAAAATTGATTATGAAGAAGGGAAGATGTTAGTCCATTTTGAGCGCTGGAGTCATCGTTATGATGAGTGGATTTACTGGGACAGCAACAGGTTGCGACCCCTTGAAAGGCCTGCGCTAAGAAAAGAAGGGCTAAAAGACGAGGAAGAGTTCTTTGTAAGTAGGAAGGTTTTCCCCTTTAAAGCTTTTCTATCTCTATAACGACATTTTAAAAGAATCGTGTCAAATTTAGCAGCCTGATTTTGTTAATTAAATGGGTATCATGCATGAAATTGATCTTATAAGTTGTCTGACTAGGATTTTAAAGCTGGAGAAGAAGTTCTGGCTCGTTGGACAGACTGCCGCTATTACCCTGCCAAGATTGAAGCAGTTAACAAAGAAGGTATGCATTTGACATGACCTCAGGCTTAAATGTAGTAGGAAAAATTCCTTTATTTTAAATTTCAGTTAAGGTATGTAATTGTTGTATAGAATCTTCTTTTTGTTCATGTTGTCCTGTGTGAGTTTCATGCTAGTGTTCTTTCTGGGACCATTGTTATATATTGCATGACTTGTGATTCACAGCATAAATCAAAAGAAAACGGTTGTGTTAGTGAGATTTCCCATAAGCCTGGGAAATCTTTCAGACAGATAATAAACTGGACTACTTACTGTTTTTTCAAAGAAACAAACACTGCACACTGCTTCTTTGCAGGGGCACTTGATCTACCCAGGGGATACTTCCTTTAAGTTGTGAACGACACATAAATTAGTTACAGAAGAGCTGTTTATTCTATTTGGGGTGGAAGAGTGAGGAAATGGTTAGACAGAGGCAAATATCAATATATGAGGGACTTCAGAACCTTGCTAAAAGATTTGAATTTTATTTGGAAGTGATAAAAGACAGGGAGTAAGTTTAAACTTTGGATTAAAACTAAAATTGAGCTTGAAAGAAATAGAAGGTAAAATGGAAACGGCAAACATTTAAAAGGGTGTCAAGGAATTGTGTATGAAAAATAAATCACAGTAGTCCAACTGATAATCATGGTATCATTTTACAAAGATTAGTCCCATTTATTGTTGCAGTGATTTGGAGCTGCAATTGAGACTGGTTTCATTTCTAGTGCAGGAAGAGGTGTGAGATAGCTCTGTCACTGAGTATGCAGATTGTTTTCCCCTTTCCTTTGGGTGCTCACACTTCTGTGGCGCTGTGTTCCATAGTGTATTGTTTTAAGTCTTGTACCTGTCCACTCTTCAGCGTCCAGTGCAGAGCCTGACACAGAGTAGGTGGTCAGTAGCAGTGTTGGCAAGAAGAACTAAAGAATCTGTTTTCTTGATCCACCACAAACCAGACAAAGTAAAAGCACTTAATGCTTTGTAACTTCGATCAGCTTGATGAATATGGAGCATTTTAGGACTTTCCATAATTTGTAAGCATGTGTTTGTGCAATTGTGTACATACACACCGTGCTCAAACAAACTACTGTCATTGTTTATCCTATTCTATTCATCCACAGGTTTTAAAACAGAAAATTAAGTTGGCATTAGTAGAAATGTGATGCTACTGGTACTGTGACTACTGCCATTTCTGCAGTACTTCTGTGGATTCTTCTCTGAATATTGATAGTCATTTTATAACTCTTCATTAGAAGTATTAATTTTGATTTCTATGTGCCTTACATAGTGGATGAGCTTGCCTCTTTCTTCCAAAGAAAAATAGGAGTGGGTGAACCTCTAGTTCACTATAAAAGTGAAAGGAAGCTAGCTAATGTGGACATTTAGATATTTGTGATAAAGCTTACACAAGTGAAGAGATAGTACTATAAATCTATAATTATAAGCATAAATATATAGAAGTCAGTTTAAAATCATGACCTTTTAAAAAAATAACATCAGAATGTTCCCCCCTTGAGCCTATGACTTTCCTAGGCGCCAGTCTTGACCACGTTTACAGTATCAGTCCTGAGCCTGTAGAATCTACCCATCCCGGTGCATATTGTCACTACTACACTAATGAGCACATCTTGTCCAGTGGGTTAGTATTGTAACATGTAGGCTAAGACCATTGATTACTTTCTCCCCCAGCAACCTGTACATATTCACATGAGCCACAATAATTAGATTCACTGGGCTATTTTATAAAAAAAGAGACCATGAACTTGGAAGTAAGTTATGAGTTATGAGGGTGGGGTTTGAGGGAGAAAGTAGTTGGGGAATGGATATTATTAAGATACATGTATCCATATATAACATTTTCTAAGATGAAAAAAGTGAAGAAAGGGGGTAAGAAATATGAACTAGAGTAGTCAGAGATGTTTTCTGCATAGGGTTGGTCATTGAAAAGTGGTTGAGTTAAGTGCAGTAAGAGATACAGGGTAGCATCCAAATGGAGGAAATAGCATGAACAAGGGCTGGAGTAGCAGGCCCACCAGTAGCTATACAAACAACATGGGCTACCCAGGAGTGCCTTATGGAGGAAGGAATTGAAGAAACCGTTGCAGGAATGATGATAGTGCAAGGTATGTATACAGTTTGACATTCTTAAAATTTTGCCATTGTCTTTACATCCTTACTGCTCACTTGACCATTAGTTTTTTTAAGTTCTACCTTAGGTTTAGAACTTTGTAATTATTTGTAGAATTATATTAATTATATGAAAATGTGAAATAAAATTGTGATTTTCAGATTACAAAAAAAAAAAAGAAAAGAAAGATCTTTTTTATATATGTGGCATTAGCTCTGGAGTTAACTTCATACCTGTTGATAATCATGAGCACATTTCTTATTTGTACTTCTTTGTAAAGTCCAGGTATCTACTTAAAGTGCTGTTCTATTTTTCTGTCAGTGTAAAATCTAACACTACTTTTTCTAATAGTCCTGTTTTATATTGATTTGCTGGCATGAGATCTGCCACAGAAAGTGAATTGCTTCAAGACCTACAAGCAGATAGATGCAGGAAGGGAAAGGCACAGCTGGCTGCACAGCATGGTAGAAATGACTATACTGCTGCTAGATGAGTATCACACATTGCTGTCCTCAGCTTCTCACGTTGGTCATGATGACCTGCTAATAACTTCCATCTTGATGCTTTCTAAATTATTTTCTATCTAAAACGTCATATGTGAGGATATTCTTTTTTGCCACTTTAACACTATTGTAAATCTCCCTGAGAAAATGATCATCATATATCAGATCTTTTCCTCTGTTACCTACTTTAAAAGTAGCTATTGAAGCGAGCCAATGATTCATGTAGAGATATTGTTTTTGTAAATAGTGGTTTTATTTTTATGAGATAGTCTAAGGATATTTATGTCTTTTCACAATAAATTTCAAAGTTCTTCAGTAAAGATCAAAGTTACATGCAGCTAAGTTATTAGGACTTAATTTGTGCTTTTTTTTTTTTTTTTTTTTTTTTTTTTAAGACAGGGTTTCTCTGTGTAGTTTTGGATCCTGTCCTGGAACTTGCTCTGTAGACCAGGCTAGAACTCACAGAAATCCCCTGCTTCTGCCTGCTGAGTGCTGGCATTAAAGGCATGTGCCACCACCACCCAGCAATTTGTGCATATTTTAAGGGAAATGCTAGTTGATAATTATTTAAAGATGGAGAGAGAAAATATATTTTGTAGCTCAATGGAATACTTACAGGAGACTATGCTTGATTGAGTTAGTGCAACCACAATGCATCTTTTTACATCATATCACTGTTCCATGACACTTTCTAATTGTTCTGACTGCTCTTATTTCAGGAACATTCACTGTTCAGTTTTATGATGGAGTAATCCGTTGTTTAAAAAGAATGCACATTAAAGCCATGCCTGAGGATGCGAAGGGGCAGGTAAGAGTGTTCAGTATTCCTGGCTACTTAAGGGATGTCTTCCTGAATTGTGTTTGATCAACATACATATGTATATATTTTAATGAATGAACTAATTGTAGGCTTATGTGCTGAGAGCCCCAAATAGCAGCAAGAAAGAGAAGCTTAGACTGTAAGATAAATTATACAATTGATTTTGCTTCTTTGGCTTTAGACCTGCTAAAGTTATAGGTCACTAGTTTCTGTTCCAGGTGAAATCCCAGCATCCACTAAGCTGGTGTTGTCCTATCGACCCAGCTGGATCGTGTAACCAGTCTATGGGAAGTGAGGTAAGTGCCTTTTTGCTTTTAAATTTTGTTTTATTTTATTTGGTATAGAGTATTATTTAGAGAGCTAATTTTTAATATGAAATTTTACTTGAGTTTCTTATCTTCTTCTTTCCTTCTACAAATCATAGTTATTCACCTTCCTTAAAAGGCGCTTACCTGACACTCTGTAGGCTGTTTCAGGTAGGGCTCTCTAAATAGCCTATTGGAAGCAGTGCATTCTATGCTTTGCTACTGCTCAAAGCAGGAATGAATGGTGAACATTTGAAGGAGAATCTGGGATGGAGCTAAAAGCCATGTTCCGTTTACTGAATATGCTTCCTCAGTCATTGGAGAGAAAGGTGCCATTAGAAACAAACTGTTTTCTTTCATGTTCTGCTGTTATTTGGGATTTTCAGCACCTGGACCTACAATTAATTTAAGAACTTGAAAGTAATCTATGAAAATGTCTAATGTGAAAATATGTTCCCTCTTTGTTCCATACCATGTAGCAAAAATGTTATCCTGAAGTGTGTTAACAATTGCATGGTTAGTTTCAGTTAGGCATGAACATTTTATGGTCTGCAAATGTCTAATTCCACATTTAAAATAATTATTTTTGGGTATTATAGAAAGTGTGATTGCTTCTGAAATGATTATATATCTCCAATTAAAGTCAAAGTGCCTTCAACCAGTGAATCGCTTTATGTCCTCCTGTGAATTTGTATTCATAAAATAGCTATAGCATCCAGTGGTGTCCTTTTTATTTACGGAAATAGGAAGACTAATTAAAATATTGGGAGCATAGTTTGTCATATAACTTTAAATCAGTTTCTTCTTTTGCTTTAATACTGTGATTCTGTAGTTATTCAGATTTCATAAAATGACCCTCTTATTTTGCCTTGAAACTTTCAAAATGGAGCATTGAGACAATTTGGTCTGTGGTTGAATTACAGACTATAGATGTTAGACTTATTGGATGTCATATTTGGAAATATTTAGTCACATCATGGCATACATTAACTTTAAGGTCAGTGCCCAAATACAAAACTACTTAAAGTATACTTGATTGGCAGCATATTTCCTTTTCTTTTAATTTTTAATTTTCCCTTATAATTTTTATTTATATGCAGATTAAAAATATTTACTAAATATTTTATAAGTTATTTTATGAGTTTTTCCCAAACTAGATGTTTACCTCACCTAGGAAATATCACAAATTGGATAATTAGGCAAAGCTAACATTTTTTTCTAGAATTTGAGTACTTTTGAGAACCTTTTTATAAATATATAAAGTGAAGAATCTTTTAATAACTTAACAAAGAATAAACATGTAATAAAAACTTCTCCCCTAAACCCTCTTTAGGAATTATGTAAGATAAGGCTTTAGTAGCAATTTTATATATGAACTTCTAGAATAATTTTCTTAAGCTTAAATAAAAGTCCTATTGCTAGCTATTGTTCTTAACTTTGGGACAGTTGGTTGATTGTATTCCACCTCTGGCTGGATTCTGAAGATAACTTGACCCTTCAGAGAACTTTTAGAAATGCTTTTGTTGAAGTGTAAGCTGTATGCCTTTTTGTGCTATGTTTGTAGACACTGTTCTCCACTGGGGAATATGGAGTGCTAGACATATTGACTGTTCAAACTAAGAATCCTAGGACATTTACCATGATAGAGATCAGTTCTTACACTCAGTGTAACCCTATGTTACTACTTGCTATTCTCCTTGATGTTTCACCATTATCAAACATAGCAGCAGTAACTGCAGGGTCAGATTCTAAGGCATTTATTTGAAATTTAAAGTCTGTAACCACAGCTTCACATCTTCTCCATTCTTTCTGCAAGTGTGCTGATGTAAAGTGTGCATTGAAATGCACTGAAGATTGTCTTATAAATGGATTTTAAATACCTTGGAACAGATTTTTTCATATGTACATAGTTGAGGTTTTTAACCTTACAATGAAAACGTCAGAATTTAGGGTTTCATTCTCCCATTACTTGCTGAGTGACTCCTAACTCAAACCCTCTGATTTCAAAACTGCATTCATTGTTAATGCACTCCTCTATTGTACCGGCTACAGAGTGTTTCAATTATGTCATTGATTCTGGTTCATGGAAAAGCATCATCAGTTGTTTTTGACAGTGAGGTTGTCTTATGTAAAAGTTCAAAGGAGGTACACTGGAGGTAATGGCATGGCTGTAAATTTTTGCCATGACTATGGTATTTAGGATTAAAAAATATTTTAAAATATTGAAAAGCATTTTAAGTTTTTAAAATTTGAAAGCCAGACTGATTTTCCTTCTGCTGTCTTTTTATTTTTTATTTTATTTATTTATTTATTAAAGATTTCTGCCTCCTCCCCTCCACCGCCACCCATATCCCTCCCCCTTCCCTAATCAAGTCCCCCTCCCTCATCAGCCCAAAGAGCAGAATAACTCGAGTTGGAAATGACCCTAACCTTGTCTGACATTTCTCTGACAGCTGCAAAAGAACCAAATAAACAACAAACAAACAACAACACCAATACCACTAATAACAAAACAACAACAACAACTGTAGTGTGGAACCTGAAGTCACATTTCCTTCTTTCAATAAGTTTGTAAACTCTTCATGGAGCTGCTGGTGTGGCTGTGCTTACTCCTTCTTCGTCTGTGTTGGCCACTCCTGAATTCCTATTGTTGGACTTACTCACTGCACTATTTTATTGTGAGCCTCAAAGCTCAACCTTTAGCTATAGTAGTCCCCAGCTACTTTCTCTTTGCCTAAGTCCTTCCACATACATCCCACACTGGCTGCTTTGCCTTTGTTTAGTGTCTTAAATCTTGTTTGGAAGACTTGTTTTCCCTTTTTAGCTATCCCTTTTCCAACCAATCCTTTTTGTCTTTAGAGACCATCTCCTATGCCCTTAGCCCTCAAGTCTCCCATTAGTTTTTCTTTTCAGTCAGAATACTCTCTTCTGTTGTCTCAAGTATTTTCATTTCTCTGTGTCCTGTCACATTATCTTTTCTTCTCCATATGTACATTTTTTAAAGATGGTCTCGTGTAGTCTGGGCTGTTCTTGAATTTCCCATATAGCTGAAGATAACTTTTAACTTCTGATCTTCCTTGCCTGTTCCTTCCCTGTCACACTGTCTTATGGTTAATTTTATTGCCTTATAAATTTCTTGCCTAACCCCTTCTATTTTATTAGCCATTGTGTTTTACCTGACTTGTCTTGTGTATCATTCAATAGAAAATGAGTTAAAACAAAACAAAACAAAAAACCTTGTTAGGTAAATCACATGATATTTGCAGATCATTTCATTGATGGAGGGGAGCGATATCTCAGGATACATTTGTTGTTTGTTCACAATGGCCTCTTTATCACCGTGTATTTTCAAGGGCAACTAGTTAGTACCTTTATTTTTTGTTTAAACTTTCTAATGATCATTTTATTTGCTTATGTTCATTCATAAAATCCACTAATTAAATTCATTTTTGTTTTAAATTTATTTCAGTTGCTTACAGTAGGAATTAATCATGTTGGATGAACTTTATTGCCCATTTAGACAATGCTTTAGGGACATGAGTGGAAGATTAACTTTGTAGAGACATCACAAGTCTTTATTTAAAAAATTTTCCTACTAAAATTCAATATAATACCACTCTGTACTATGCATAGTATAACCGTGTTATACTTTCACAATAAAGAGTTTTGAGTTAAAAATGAAACATTAAGATTCAGGTAAGCAAGGGAAATGGCTCAGCAAGTAAAGGCAATTGCTGACAAGTCTGATGACCTGAGTTTGAGTTGAGTTTGAACCCAACAATTCACATAGTGGAAGAACTTTCACAAATTTTTACCATATGCATGCCAATGCATGTGTGACCCTCATCCTGACAGACACAGAGTAAATAAATTTAAAAAACAAATTAATTTAGCAACTAACAAATTTTCTTTACAAGTATTATGAAGATATGATAAACTGATCCTAAAGTTTAAATGTTTAAAAAGCAAAATCATAGTTTGATTTCTAAGAAATTAACTGTGAATTGAATTGTATGTGCTTCTTAAAGAGGAACAGTAGTAATATATCTCAATACTTATAAGAGTTTAATGTAATTCTCTTCTTATCCACTGTATTATGGGAAAGAAAAGTAATGTCACTTTTAATTCTTCAATAGCATATAGCATTCCATATTTCTATAGGCTTTATAAGTTTTTTATTTAATTATATAAAATCATATCCAAGAACTATATGCTGTTAAATATTTTTTCATCTTATAGATGGATTTTAAGCTTAGTCAACCATTAATTTATTAAGCTAAAAACTCAATCAAAATGATAATCTGTCACATAAATATAGCTAGCCTATACATGTGTGTATGTGTGAGTAGCTGTCAAGATGTAATACATAATTTTATTTATTAGTGAAACTAAACTTGGATTTTTAATACTTCATGTTTTATGTTTTCCTTTGGAGGACTGGATTGCTTTAGTCAAAGCAGCTGCTGCAGCTGCAGCAAAAAATAAGACAGTGACTAAGCCTCGGACCAGTGCTAACAGCAATAAAGAGAAAGAGAGAGACGGGGGAAAGTGGCTTACAGTGCCTTCAAGGAAGGCAGAAACTCCAACTTGCAGAGCCACAGTAGAGACTGAGAAGAAGGAGGAGCTACCCACATCTAGTGAACCGTTTGGTACAAAATACATTCTTATTTTCCTTTCTTGTGACACAGGTAAACTGAGGTAGCAATAAGCCCAAATCTTTTGGTTACCTATAATTTTGAAATTAGAATTAAATTATTTGTTCCTACTTTAATTAGGTGACTAACTTTATTATCTCATACATAATTATGAGGATACTGTCAAATACTGGCATTAGATGCTTTCACTATTCTTGAATATAAATCATTTTATATTTGTTAGTAGGATCTTACTTGAAAGTTTTGGTTTAAGTGTTTAAGGGATTGTGCTTTTTCCATGTGCTGTATAGAAGAAATTATTCTCTTCAAGCTTTCCTTCAAGAAGGAAGGGGACTTTTATTTCTGTTGTATCAATCCAGAGAGATTTTTATTTGTTCCAGTCATAATCAAGCATTAGATTTCAAACAGTAATGTACAAAGTACTTTTACTGATTTGCTATCTATTAATTGTATGTTTTAATTTTGGATTCCAGACAAATTCTCATATATGTGTTCTATTAAAAGTAGGACTTCACATAGACAGCGTTCCAAAGATCGTCTTTCCACAGCCAGAGAGCACATTAACAAACAAGAGGAAAAATAATCACGGAAACTCATTTCAGGCAAAGAGAGCACGACTTAACAAGATTACTGGTAAACTACAATGATTCTTTTGGCAGTGGGGGAGGCTAAGGGATTCATGTTAGAGTAGTTTCTTTTTAATAAAGGAAAATGGATCTTTTGACTCAGTGTAATGAGTTGATTACTTTCTGGTTCTTCAAAGTAAGCATCTCTCAACACTGTCAGCTTTGTCTGTTACAAGCTGAAAATACCATGAGTTTCTTACCTACCTCACAGGGATGTTGTGAGGATCCATCAGTTCCCATGTTATAAGAGTCTGTAGTCTTGAAATCTCTTCTGTGGTAGGAATAGTTTCTGTCAGAATGGGTTATCTGCATTTATCAACTTGTGGTGGCTTCATTTCTCTGGCTTTAAATATTTTTACATATAAACGTCTTACAGATGACAAGGCTTAAGAATGGGACCGTTTGTTATAAAAATTTGGATATCTGAGTAAATTAAGTTCCTTACTCATTTGTTACTCCCTGCTTTTTTCTTGAGGTTGGTCTCTAGAGTACCTTCTTGTAAGGTAGCATATAGTAGTGTAGGGATAATGAAAATGCATACAACCCTAGCCAGGCTAGTGCTGACAGAAGAGGGAACTGAAGTATTATAGCCATGACCAAACATGCTACACCTGACATTTCTAGGCTGTCAGCCTTATTGGTTTCTAGTATTTAAATGAAACATAATTATAATTCATCATTTAAAGGGAAGCTTAAATATTTTAATGTTTCAGACATTGATTTTTTTGTTTTCTTATTTTAAATTTTTTATTCATTTTACATACAAACTATAGTTCTCCCTCCCTCCCCTCCTTCTGCTTCATATCACCTCCTTCCCCAGCCCCCATCCAGTCCTCAGATATGGCAAGGCCTCCCATGGGGAGTTAACTAAGCTTGTCATATCACAATGAGGCAGGACCAAGTCCCTCCCCAGACATCTGATTTTTAAGAACAAAATATTTTCAAGAGCCTCTAGTTTAATAAAACTGAATGATTTTTTTTGGCATTGATTTAAGTACTTTGAAGAAGATTAGCTCCTTTGTTAGGGCCACAAATAAATATTAAGTGTGGTTGTGTCTGTTTTCAGAAGAGGAGACCTACTGACAGATGCCTGGAGCAGAGGGCTTTTGTGAGCTGCTCTATGACAGGGCCCATTGAGGATTTTGACTCTTTCAGCACTGCAGGGATCAGGCTTATTCCATTTTTTTATAGTACTTTCATGGATTTCTATAATATGGGTTGTTTTTGCCCTTAGTACAGGAAATATCTTAGTATTACTTCACCCAATGAACCCTTTTCTTTAGAAATTGTTAGCCTTGGAGAAAGCCTGAATCTTCTCTAAATTGATTCTTCTGCTGTCAACTTGAGACTTCGGTTATGGCTTAAAATACAGAACTCAGTGCTACTTGCAGGGCAGAGTGGAAAGCTGCTTCTCTCTACTGTGATAAAGATTGAAACTACACTGTTGAGGATTCAAGACCAAGGAAGACGGAAATGCCACTGACAGGATACAACTAATTGCCAGCTTCCCAGCATCATGTCATATCACCTGTTTTTAGTTTCAGCCAATATTCTTTGACATATGCCTGCTTCTAAATGCCTTAATGGGAGGGGCAAGGTCATCTTTCAAAGAAATAACCAAACTAAAAAACAAGTGAGTCCACAGTGATGCATGGCTTTGGAGAGACAGTAGTAAGGATAGAAGAACCTTTTACCTTGTGCCTCACATTGTCATCCTGGTTGCTTAGTAACACCTCAGGCCTTCTGTGAAGGACTTTTTCTTCAGTTTTCCATAGGAATTTTAAATGTGATGTTTAGCAACAAGAATAACACATAAGGTCTTACCTATGTGAAGCCTTTATGGCCTTTTCCCATTATTAACTCAGAAGATTTAAATGTATCACAATTAGCTTCTCTGCTTCTACTTTTGATTTCATGTCACAAATATGCCATGCAAAAGACATTAGATGTTAAGATTGTCTTCAGTTGGCTAACCCTGGATTTGCTTCTGTACAAGAAATTTTATTTGTATCCATGAAAAGAAATGAGAACTAGTGTAAAATAGCAGATTCATACTGAAATTTTGCTGTATTTTAAACTTACCAAGTTCTATGTGTGTCTTTCTTTTACAAGAGAAAATGGGCAAGAATCATGGCAGTTTGTTCTCATTTACTCTCCTCCTCTCATTCCACTCTACTTTTTAAAATCTAGGTGAAGATTAGTGAACCAGCAACTGGATAAGTTTAACTGTGTAATGATGCACGGTTTTGCTTTCCTTCCCTTCCTATTAATCCTATGGTGATTCTAACCCGATTGTTGTATAGAGAATGATAAAGTGATGAGGTTTTCAAAGTTTGCAGCTAGGAAGAAATAAAATTGTAGTTGGATTCTATATATGTGTGTATTCCCCTTGGTTATTGCTTTGGAATATGTGATGTGCCTTATTGACAGTTCTATCATATGGTATTTATATATGATGATATATATATATATATATATGTTCATTTGAGGTAGATAGTTTTACACTGAAAGCCAGAATTCATAACTTTAAAACAAGTTGCAAGCAAATTGAGTTTTAGTAGATTTGAAAATAGCAACTGTAAAATAATAGCACAGGGTAAGATAATAAAGAATACTGTGTAGTAGTTGGTATACTCTAATCACTGTAGGCATTGCTGGAAGTAAGAAATGCTTGTGCAATGTCAGGGATTTTTGAAATATTTGAAAAAATCCTGAGATTAAATTTACTAGTGACACATAAAGTTCACCAGTATTTTGAGCACTCCCCTTTGTGTTTCAGAGAGCTCTGGCCTCCTGCTTCTCAGTGAAGTAGATTATTATAAAATGAATTTGTTTGCTGATAGGATTCGTGATGATTTGATATTATACTTCTACCTACTGTTTAATATCTTGATTCTGTATCATGAATTCTCTAAGATACTGTTTGTAATGTATTGATAATAAGTATTTGCAATAATTAAAATTAATTTCTTTTGTGTCTATTGCGTCTGTTGCATTCAGATTCTCATTTATTTCGGGTTTAGAATTGGCAGGAAAAGGTAACTGGTTTTGGACTTTCTCTTCAGGCAGAAGTAAATTATCCTCTTCAAGTGTCTATTTTGTCATTTGTCCCCTTTTGTTTATGCTTAGTAATTCATTTTAAATAGGCATATCCGGCACACAAAGTCTTATTGCTTATATTTGGAGCTTTTGAATCCTCCAGATAGTAGTGTATTTTTAAATCTAATTTTAAGTAGTTTGTTGTGTCTCATTATTATCTATGGCCACATGAAGACTGTCCTTTTTCTTCCCAACAACTATATGGAAATAGCTTTTTAATCAGTATGGCCTATACTATTACAATAGGTTATGGATGAATTGTTTTGTGTCTTTTACAACTTGTACCATATTTTGAAATTTGAGCTTATAATTCATTTCATCTCCTGATGAATATAAAAAACCATTCTATCACTTCTATAAAATGAAGCAGAATAAGTATAATTTATATATTGAATGACACATATTTGTCATGTTTGAATAGCTTTAAAAGATAGAACTTCTGATCATTTCCTAACATAAAAAGACCTTGATTCTGTATCGTTTAACAAAAACTTCAGTAGCTCATTTGTACTCAAGAATGTTAACTGGAAAAGAAAAAAGAACAGTGACTGTTGTTTTAAATGTTAAAGAAATAATCTAAACTACACCTTTGTGTTCATATAAAATGTGTACAGTGTGATTAAGATTGAATTTGTGGGCTAAAACCTTTATAAAATAGTTTATATTTCTTTATTTCTCACTTAAATCTAACTGTATTATGTGGGAAAGGGAGAAACTATATAGGCTGTTGTTTCAAAATAGGTGGAGTACCAGTCACTGATGTATCAAAATCATTGTTTTCTACTGAACCTCCACTTCATACTCAGCTGTAGGTATTCAGCTTTCTAGTAAAGCCAGTGTGCCTTCTGCCTCTTGTAATATTTATCTCTCTTACTACTTTAGGGAGGCCATGTGAATATGTGTGTTCCCATCTAGGTCACTTAATACCTTTGGGATAGTTACTTGAGAAAGTCAGGCCATGTTGCCTTGTGAGTAGCTCTCTATCCTGTAGTGTTTCAAGGAACTCTTTCCCTTCTGTGAAGTAATGTTAACAGTAATAAAGCTGATAAAAATTGCTATATCATGTTTACTATTGGTACCACTTGTTATATGTTTCCTCTTCTAAACAAAGCAGCCATAAAACCAAGTATTTGTCATTTTAAAGTCCTGATAAACCTGGTCTCACAGAAAGTACTGAATGAATGAGCAAAGAATTGTATTCAACTAGATGCCTTTATTAATGAAGGCAGCCGAATTTTGATGTTTTTTGAAAATCGCTATATTATAAATCAAGAATTCTATCTTCTAAAATTAGGTGTTAGTGATAGAACTTTTCATTTTGTCACCATTTATAGAATGAAGTTGTCAGGCCAGGTGTTCAAATGACCCATACACTCTTCCCCTTTTATATAAAATGGGTCCATGAAATGATCTTGAAACTTTTGTAGGAAAATAAGACATAAATGAGCACTGATACAAATGCACAAAGTTTAGGTTAAAAAATATAGGTTGGAATTAAAATTTAGTAATACTTTTTTAAAGTTAGCAAGATGACAGAATGATATTCTACTCTGTTTTATGAGTATTAGCAAAATAAACTATCTTTATCTGGACTTTGAAGCCAGAAACTTTTTCCCCAAATAAGTGTATATTTAAGGATCTCAAAAGTAATATCTAGAAAAATACTACCCAAGTATGTGAACAACTCTCAATATTGACTTAGTCTCTTGTTAAGGGTGTTTGCATTTATTAAAAGATAGCATTTAATACTTTCTATATATGGGAAATTTCATCTGCTATCATTTTAGAAGTTTATTATGCAGAAATTACTAATTTTTTCTAATAAGCCATTTCTCTACAATTCTTCTCAAGGTTTGTTGGCATCCAAAGCTGTTGGGGTAGATGGTGCTGAAAAAAAAGAAGACTGCACTGCAACAGCTCCAGTCCTGGAGCAGGTATGAAATGGTAGCATTTGATTGTTTCACGTCCCACTGGAGTGGTCACGGAGCTGTAGTACCCACGTGATTGCAGTTGTCCCTCTGATCAGATATGGGAATAGAGCATTGACTCATTGATGATATATTTTTATCTCTGCCTTCTCCCGAGTATGCAGATAAACTATGGACTTCATTAGCTTATGTTTTCCATAGCCTGATATTAACGCCATTGTCTCCAAAATTAGAAGGCTTGGAGACAGGCGTCCCAGGGTATGAGCTTCCAGCTGGACACCTTTAGCTTTCAAAAAGACCCTTACACAAATACTTTTTATTTGTGAGTTTAAACAGGGTTTTTTGACATCTAATTAAACTTCTTTTATAAGAAGTTTCTTTTATATTGTAACAGTTGGTGTTGTTAGACTGTGTTTTATGAATTGATCAATGAGCCATAAATTTTTTGCTAGGATGTATATTTTAATAACTACAATAAAAAGAGAATTTAAAAATCGTTTAAGGGTCTGTCTTAAACCACCTAATAGAGAAATTTAAAACTGAAGGCTACGGTTGCTAGAATTGGCCGTGTCTACCTTTGAGTTCCCACAATACTGTACATAATGAGCTGTGCATGCATTTCCATCCTCTAAGGGCTGACCTGCTTAGGCACTGTACGAACACAGTAATAGCCATAACTGGATTTCTTTGGTTCTCCTGTTTTAAAATCTGAGCCTTAATGTAGTTTCAATATACCCTTTTTGTATTAATTTTCTTTATTAGTAGCCTAGTAAAGAAGACTTTAAAATGAGTATCTTTTGTTCTTCTCTATATGTGTTTAAAGAATAGCCCAAATTTAATTGATATTGTATTGAGTTTTTCAGTGTTTATTCAGGCCTGATTTGAAAGCAGTAAATTGTTTTGGTGCCTCCATTAATGTTGTATTAAATCGGTGGTCTTTTAAATTGATCAATATGTCAATGACTCTCATACTTTCTGGTTTTCTATCAGCATCAAACGGTTAAGTCTTTGCCGTTATTGTCAGTATACCAACCAAATTTTAAATAACTTTTTTTTACTGTGTATGACTATATTCAAGGTCCCAGATATAACAATATTTTGTACTCCTACAACTGTTACGTTATACTCAGAATGCAACATATCAGGGACTTGGGTAATAAAATATTTCTGGAAAATTCATTACAATGTCAATCTTTCATTACACAATCTTTGAGGTAAATGTGATTGTGAAAATTAATATATGTGCAAGTTAGTTTAGAGGTCAGTAACCAATTCAGAAAATCAGTTTTAAAAGGAAATTAGAGTGACTCGGCTATTAGTACTTGCATAATTCAAGACTTTTCAAAATCCTTAGCAATTTTGTAACAGAGACCAATAATCATTAATGGAACCTTTGTAAACTGTTCTAGAGTTTAAGGAACATCATGCTGTTCCCTCTTTTTTTGTTATTCAGGTTGATTTCAATGTGAAAATGTTTTGTAACCAAACTCTTCATTTTTATGCTATATGTTAGCCTTGCTTCTAAGCTAAAAAGCCGAGTTATAAAACTCTTAACTATCTCAGTTGGTATCAGCAAGAGACTTAAATGAGTTTTGATTGTTGCTAACTTCTGTTGTCTAAGAAGTTATATTGCCAGTTATGACAGATTGATAACATGCCTATAGCCACAATTTGCTGTGCTAATGGAGTTATAGATTCAAACTATGGTCTTGGACCCCATTATCAGATTATTAGTTATAGATTACTTAATTGTATTAGGGAAATGTCATGTTATATTTACTTTTGGATAAAACTTGCATTTGATGCATAATAATTCAGTAAGTTTTAAATATGTTAATTTGTCCTTGTTTAGAAGTTAAGCACCTTACCAAGTTATTAATTTAAGTTTTAAAATCTTGTTTTATAACTTTGTAACTCAAGAGTAATGGATGCTGTAGTGATGTCTCTCACATATGTGAAGATGAACAATAAAATTGTTTATTTACAAGTAATGGCTCTAATTACTTTCCTGGCAACACCTTTTATGATAAGCTTAGGAATACTTTCCAGTCATGGAGTTCTTTTTCAAATGAAAGTTCCACTTGCACACATTTGTAGTGAAAAAATTCAAGAGTAGAAAATGAAAGTTGAATGAATGGGACACTTGACACAGGCCCTTTTATGTCAGATCCTAAGCATGCCATCTTAGAACATTCAGTGATGCCATATTTAATATCAAATATATAATTTCCCCCACCAGAGTCTGAGTAACTTTTATTTTAATGAGAACAGAATTATTTATTTATTTGATTCCCAAGCAATGATCTTTTATAGTCTAGAAAACTGAAGATTACAAATTCAATGATCATCCCCCTTTCCCAAATACATGGAAATTAAACAATTTCTTGGGGACAGGCGTGTTATTCATAGGACTAGTGACTTTACTCGTTATAGTAGCTTGCTATACTACCAAATTTTAGAAGTTCGTATCTCATGTTTTGCTGTCAGATATCAGCATGAAAATCAGTGTAGGCATTGCAGTATGACAGAATGTGGACCAACTGTGGCTGCTTTCTGTTGTCTTTAACAGTCGATACTTTCACACTTATTTTTACATGTCCAGGGAATTTTACTGCCACGTGAATAAAATGTTCTTAAAGAAAGAACTGACAAAAGTTCTAATTTTTTTTAAAGTATCAGTTGGCAGGAATAAGGTAAAAACTCATCTAAGAATGCGACGTATTTTGTTTTTAAATCCAATGTTTTAACTTACACTTTATCTTTTTTATGTTGTTGTTGTTGTAGTTGTTGCTTGTTCTGTATTGTTTTTTTAGTCTTTTAACTCTCTACTGCTGGTGGCTCTGATTTCATGATGCATTTTGCTTATGAAACTAGCTTTCAGCACTAAAATGAGTTAAAGAGAATGTTTTGTTGATTTGGTCATTGTTTTCCTGTTGAGATCTTTCTTTAAAGGGAAACTGTCTACTGAGACAGTCACACACTTGATGACAGAGGCTGCAAAAACTCTTCTAAAAGGCAGACGTTTGAATGTATTCCTTCAGAGCTTCAAAACCTGGAATACTTATTTTCATTCACTTAGCTGATAGTAATAAGATTGACAATTACAGTTTCAGAAGAGAGAAATTTCAAATTAATACTGAAAAAGATTATCCAATAGGATATTTAATATAGAAGAATTTCATAGGCATTAAAAACAGACTCATAGTTGACAGTATCCCTTTAAAGACAGCCTAATCAACTTTTAGTTCATAATTTGTGGGGTTCGTTTTGGTTTTTCATTTGTAATAGAAATGTTATATGTTGCTTAACAATGTTTTTGGATACTAAAGTTGCATAACAATCAAAAATAGACTACAAGAAGAAAATTGAAGAAACCAAAATAAAAATATCAATTTTTTATTATTTATTCAGGCGATTTCACCTAAACCTCAAAGTCAGAAAAAAAATGAAGCTGTCATTAGCAGTTCTGCCAACACTCAGAAACCTGCACTGTTATCCTCAACTTTGTCTTCAGGGAAGGCTCGCAGCAAGAAATGCAAACATGAATCTGGAGAGTCTTCTGGGTGTATAAAAACCCCTAAGTCACCACTTGCCCCAGAATTAATACAAGCCAAGGATTTGACGCTTGTATCTCAGCTTTCTTCAGTGATAAATAAAACTAGTGAGCACAGACTTTACAAATAGTTACTTATCCTGTAAGATAGATTCAAAGCAGTTTTGTTGTAGTACTATTGTTTTTTTTATGAAGTTGCTTTTTGAAAACTCAAAAATTAAGTGGATATGACAGAAAGCTTAAAACTAATTCAAGAGTAGAAATCATGGCCATTTCCTACTGCTTTACTGTCCCAAGTCTGTAGTGCCATCGAATGACAGGAGTCCCACTGCAGTTGTACTCTCCTCAACTAATAAGACAAGGCCTGATTCATTACAAAAAACAAACAAACACAACACCCCTGGAAACAAAAAGAACTGTAGAAAGACCCTTGGTGGATGTTTTACATAATCCTCATTCCTCCTGTGGCCAGGTAGGAGGCATCTCCTCTTACCTGTACTTCCCCAGTGCACTTTCTATATTTATTCTTATGTTAACAAGGCAGCCTTGAGTCCTGTCTCATTCTTAGTGAAAAGAGAATGCCTTCTTGGTTATAAAGATTTGACTGCTGGCTACCACCATTTCAATGTTAGATGTTTTAAAAAGGGTTTTTGGTTTTTGTTTTGTTTTTAACATGGATTTGGCTAGATAAAGATAAGGTTTATTTGACCCCAGGTTTAGCATTCAGAACAGTTATCTGATACATGTCTAGCTAGGTGACACTTTCCTTTTGCCCCTTTATTCAGCAAATAGATTAGTGTTGTAATCAGGAAATAAGAATGGCAGATTTCCTTCTTTATTGTGTCTTCCAGAATAATGATATTGGCGTTTGGAAGACTTTATTAAACATGCTAATCTATTTTTTACTCAGTTCTCACATTTATCATTAAACCACATATTTTAAACTTTGACCAGTCTGTATCTTTTAATAAATAAGGAGAAACAAAGGGAATAGAAAATTCTTATCTCTGAAACTTTTTTATAAAAGAACATCAGTAGAAGTCATTAGATTTTCACCACACCAAAAAGCATTTTATCTTGAAGTTATTTTTTATATTAATACAACCACAGTATCATAAAAGGTACATTTGTCTTTTGATTTTTCCCCATTATCATCTTGTCTTTTTTCATTATTTTTCATTGTTATCCTTAAATACCCAAAGCATCAGCTCCTTTAAACTACTTCTTTCTAAATTAGCAATACTATATTACCTATACAATCCTATCTACTATATAATTCAACAATTCATAGTCCAGGGTAAAAGAGGAACTCTCAAGTGTTAAAGAATCATCCAAACATTTGGGTTAACATTGCTAAAAGTTAAATAAATGATACAATTAGTTGTTGGAACAAATGAAAATATTTAAGGGCAAGAATAGTGTCATGTTAATTAGTCTAATTTGGCCATAATAAGCACATTGGTTTGTTTGTGTTCAGTTTTTTGAATGAATCAGGCCCCCGATTTCTGTAAGAGTCCATGTGGGAGAGTAAGGATGGGATAGGTTATTTGCAGTAGCTTCACTTGGGGAAGGAAAGAAAGCAAAGCACCAACTGTGTAATGTATGTACAAGCTGTCACCTGTGCCCCTGCCTTCCTCTTCCTTTAGATTGCTTAGGCTTGCTATGTAGCAAAGGGATTTCTCTCCCTGCTTTCTCCCTTTCCCCCTTTACCTGCCTCCCGCTATTTTTGCTTACAAGATACTACTTTCCTGGAGGCAAATGACAGTAGCACAAGACTCCACTGGTGGAGAGCCCTTTCCAGTCTCACACTGTGGGAGAGCTACTGGAAATGAATATCCCCTAGAACTGTCTTAGAGGTCTAGTAGGGTTAGATTTTAGAAGTTCTGATGAACTAACTTTTTTGTGAAGAGGGCACTTTTTGATTGCCTCTGGAATGTTCCATTTCTTGTGGTTATCTAGTAGCAGTACCAGAGGGCAGAATATGGCTCATTTTTCCCCCTGCTTATCTCCTTAAATATTATAAGATGATCCTGGTATGTATCTGCTTCGTGAACATTGAAGATCTTTTTCTAGGTCCTCCACAGCCTGTGAATCCCCCTAGACCTTGCAAGCATAGTGAGAGGAGAAGAAGATCTCAGCGGTTAGCCACCTTACCCATGCCTGATGATTCTCTAGAAAAGCTTCCTTCTTCCTCTTCAGCCACTGATGGGAAAGTATTCTCCCTCAGTTCTCAGAATCAGCAAGAATCTTCAGTACCAGAGGGTAATGTATATTGATTTCCTATAGAACCAAATGTAAAGGAAGATAAATATCTAACAACAATTGTTTGAACATTAAGTTTTCTTCTTAATGTCTCTTGGACTTAGAAGCACTTCACATATTCTACAAATACCTTCTAGTGTCTTCTTTTTGCCAGGCACTGTGTAAATACCAGTGATCTATACTGATATGAACTGAGCCATTTTGTCTGTATTAATATTATGGTTCTCTTTTCCTTTTGATTTTATATAGTTCCTGCTATCGCGCATATGCCACTCCAGAAGCTGGGACCCTGTCTCCCTCTTGATTTAAGTTGTGGTTCAGAAGTCATAGCACCTCGAGCCCCAGACTCCTCCTCTTCTGGTGGTGAATGTTCCAGGGAAGGAAAGGAGGAGCCACAGTCATTTGCAAATCCCTCCTCCAAAGTAGTGAGTGATGTAAAAGGAGCTTCAGCAGCCTCTGGTAAGGAAGCTCTTAGTTAAGTTTGGCCTAAACATTTTGATATTTTGTTCCACTTGATTAATACGAAATTCCACGTCTATGGACTTCTAAGGCTCGGTCAAACTACCAAGTTTTAGGTCAACTAAGGCGATATAGCAAGACCCTGTCTCAAAACAACAAGAAATAGATTGTATGAAATCCTTACTTTTATAATTAGAAATTATTAGTTAAATACAATTGCAGAAATTCTTATTCATGAAACAAGAAGATACTTCAGGGGATGAGTTCTTAGGTTTACAAATGTTGGTAGAATTTAAATCTAAATAGAATATAGATTGAGTTTAATTGTGTTACCTGTGTCATAAGTGTATGTCCATGTTTGGAGACAGAATATCCTGTCTGAATATAATTTATTATTACATTTTGGGGGCGACCATGTTTAGCTCATTTTTAGGTAATGTCATTGTTTATAACCCAAAAACATGGGTGGTAATTTTTTTATTAAGTTGATCTTTTAAATATAACATCGTTCATTTTTCTTATATAAAGTTGCAACATTTTATTTAGAAATATTATAATTTTAAAGTTTCATAAAAATAATATGAATATTATTATGAAAAAATAATACACACATATATAAAATTTTCAGAAGTCAAATAGTACTTTTCCTATTTGTTGTCTTCTTCCCAAGTAAATTATTAATTTGGAACTGGCTGGTGAGAGATTGGAATCAAGTTAGATCAGGAGACAAATATAAAGTAGCTAAATGTGTTGGCAATAATTATTTATGTTTAACAACATCTTCCACAAAGAATGTCGTGGCAGCTTCTTGGATGAAGCCAAAATATAGTTTGCTTTGTTCTGTCCATGCTACACACTAAAAAAAAATGACATCAGTAGCTTAATTTAATCTGCCGCCTTTAACTTGTTCTTTCTTTCAAAGCAGTAATGTTAGTATTCTCAAGTACATAATTATCTACAATTCCATTTTACCTATAAAGATTTAAATTGGTTTATAAATGATGATGTTTCCTTATTTAAAAAAAAAAAAGCCCACATCTGAAAATTGGTTGATTTTGATAGCTTTTCATTGCGCAGATCTGATCTCTTGTCCTTAGATATTCATCTTATCCTGATCTTAGAGTAATTCAGTTAATTTTCTCCTTTTTTTGCACAAAATTCCTCACTTATCATTGACCTTTCAAGGAAGTTTTCCTCGTAAAGGTCCCATGTACTATTTTAATGGTCTGTAACTTCTCACTGCATTCAATATATGAGAATGATCTTAATGTCATAATATCATGTACCTACTGGAAAAATGATTTTTGATGTGTATGTGAAGATATTTGTATGTTCCTTAAAATACATATTTGAATTGATTGTAATAAGACTGAAGTACAGATCAATAGAAGTACGTGTCATAAATAGTGTCATGTAGGACTGGAGTGATGGCTTGGTAGTTTAAAGAGTACTGTACTCTTCCTGAGATCCCTGCCTTTAATACCAAGCAAACAGATGGCTCACAACCATCTGTAACCTCACTTCCAGAGGATCCAGTGCCCTCTTCTGGCCTCTTAAAAATATAGTACAAATGTGGTGCATTGACATGCAGGCAAATACACCTTTTTTACAAAAAAAAAAAAAAAAAAAAAAAAAAAACATCGAAACAGTGTTTGTACACTAAAATCCTTTCTCTAGATGATTTTGCTTCTAACCAGGAGATAGATTAAGTGGGTCCTCTTTTGTTTGGTTTGTCTGTTTTCCCTTTAAATTTCTGGCAGATTTGTAGCTATATGATTGACTAGCTTGGAGAGGTAGTCATTAATGTTCATAATGTTGAATTATGCAAGAGCAAAGAGAAGGCACAACCATTGTCTTCTCTTTTAAAATGATAGCAGTAACTGGAGAGTTTGGTGGGTTGTAGGTCAGTAGGTAAAGGATTCACCCTTTCCACATCACATGAGTGTAGAAAGAATCCGGTTTCTTCAGCATATAAAACAGAGCAGTGGACATGGCAGTAATAGAAGGAGTGTGTACAGCAAAGGGCTGGAGGGTTGGGAAACTGGGAGGGAATGACCCATTTTAGAAGGATCTTCATGGGGTTAGCATCTGTTACATTGCTTGTAGTTTTTTAGCAAGCGATTCCTGCTATTTAAATGTGGGTGATCCAGTTTGAAGTGTTCAGTCCTGGGCAGTTAGAGCCACTCACATGTAATTTCACATCATGCAATTTGGATGGTGTGCATGGTGGTGGCTAGTTTTGGTTGGCTGTTCTGTTTTGGTAACAGGAGCTCTGTTTTCCTGTTTGAGGAATACTCTAGGGCTAGATTTGCACTGGAGACTCAGCCCATCTTTGTCTCTCATTCATGCCGTCCCCTCCACAGAAACTGAAAATAGCAAGACAATTTCCAAAGAAAATGAAAACTTTGGATTTTCATGCACTACATTTACAGATCTGTTTGTGGAACTGTAATCTTATTGGTATGCATGTAAGTGAGCTTAATATTTACGAGCACAGTGCTCAGCAGTTTTGCTTGTTTTTGTTTTTGAAGAGAAAGGTTTGTTTGGCTTATAGTTCTAGGGAATATAAAATGAGAAGACAAAATGACAGGAGCGTTTGACAGTTCATCTTATCACATTCACAGTCGGGAAACAGACGGATGAACGCTAGTGTTCTACTTGCTTTCTCCTTTTAATTCAATCCAAGACCCAGCTCATGAAATGGGGTTACCCATGTGTAGGCTGGGTCTTCCTACCTCGGGTACTCTAGATATTTGCTTAAAACAAGCAAGTGCATAGTTCTAAGCTAGCTACTTAAAGTTGGGATGTACATAATCATGTATAGTGTATACAGGGTATTTGAACGGGACAAGGTAAGAATTTGTTTCTGTGACTCTTGAATTTTTTCTTTTTGAGGAAAGTAATGCAGTTTATGCTGTATTTTTTATTTAAAATTGGGTCCATTTGTTTACTTTCAGTGAACTTCTATGTGGTCTGCATGCTTTTTTCTCTTCGTGTTTTTCTGTTTTGGTAGTAGCTTTTTGTTTTGTTTCTTTGAAACATGATCTCAGCTATGTCCATAGCTCAGGTAGTATGAAATATAATATGTACCCTGAACTGGTTTGGAAGTCTCAGTTTTCTTGCTTTAGCTTCCAGAGTGCTTAGATTGTAGGCATGTGCCATCATATCTGGCTTTCTTAATATTTTTGTTACCTAAATATTCTATACTATCTTGAAGTTATTTTGAATTTCTGTTCGTTCCCTATGTTGATGTACATCTAGAGTTAAAAAGCCAGGTTTTTGTTTCTTCTTTATGTATGCATGTAAATGAGTGTATGTGTACATGCATTTGGTGGGTGTTTATCCTAATTATAAAAATAAATTCGGTTTCTCTATTTTAAACCTCTATAAGGAATTGCTTACAAGAACTTTATTGGCAGCTTTTTAAACTTGAAACTCCTGGGGAGCTTAACTGGTGAGAATGATAGTTAGCTGGGAAGTAGTTTAGCAAACTTAGGACTCTTACCAGGTTAAACTTTGCTTTTAATTGTTTTTCCAATAGAGATTATGAGCTTGCACTAATTGATCTACATTCTTCCACTGGGATGGATGCCTACATGACTGACTCTCAGGTTCGGAATATTGTTGCTGCCCACTTTAGCAATAAGTTAAAGAAAAAGAAATGGTACTTTTCTGAAAGTTAAGATATCAAAACAAAATAACAAAAATACCCAACACCCTTGATTTTGTGTTATGATAAGTATCAGAATGCTTTTTTTAATAGCCAGTGAATCAGAGAAAGAGATTCAACTTCAGAAATCTTACTTCTCTTACTCTCTGGGAGGAAAAGTAGATCAAGTTTCTTAAGAAGGATCCTTTTCAAAAGAAACCTTTCCTGACCTGGGTCTAAGGATATCTGTGTCCTGTCTAAATCTTGCCTAAGGTAAAGGACACAGTACAGGGACACAGAAACTGCACTCAGGATACACTCTGCATTTACAAAGAACTAAAGCTAGTAACTGAAATACACATATAAATGAGAGCTGCTTATTAGAAGATAAAGAATTCTTAAGCATTAGAAGTGGGGCAAAGAGAGATAAGTCAGTGGGTAGAGGTGTTCCCTACGCTTGAGATTTGGAGTTTCAGTCCCTGGTCCATGAGGTGGAAGGGAAAACTGGCTCCAGTCAGTAAATTGTCCTCTGACCACCAAGTGCACCATGGATATGTATACACCCACACACACAATAAATAGTTTAAATAAACATTTGAAAGTTTAAAAAAGAGACACAAGATATGTTGTATACAAGGGAAGAAAATAGAAAATAAGGCCCTCAGAAGCCCTCAGACCAAGAAGAAGGTGTGCTATTACTAAGGTGACAGGAACCATCTGCTTGCCCTCTGTTCTCACTTTCTTTCAGCAAAATTGAAATCATTTACTTTCTTAGCACTGCTTTTTTTTAATTTTTATAATGAGAATTTTATAGTAGGTAATGTCTGTGGCAACTTCCAGCTCTGAAGTTTAGATTACTTATTTATTGTATCATTCATCATTCATTTCAAGAGTCTAAAGTCATTTGAAAGAAAAATCATGATATGACAATATTAACTTTCACTTATAATTTTCAAATAGTTTTAGAATGGCAGCCATTCTTAAGTAGCCTCCATTAAGATAAAATTGGAATTAATATATTATATGAGTATAATTCTAAACAATTTTAGTTAGTCCTATTTTGGGAGACACATTGAAATATACTTTTATTTTTATATTTTTGAGCAAATCAGTAGAAAATATCAAGAAATATTTGTTTTATTAGAGTATTTTAGTTAACGTGGATACAAGTATTAGACTGATAAACGTATGAGCACTATATCGTTATATTATCAGAATGTACATTAGCAGGCCATTCAACTTTTGGCAAATTTAGTTTAGTTTTAGATGAAATTCAATGTAATTTCTTGAACTCATTGTAAATAAAATGTAAAAATAATAGGCATGTAAATATGTTGATTGTCACAGTTAAGTGAGGAGAGACCTCTGATAAATCTTTGGTAATGAGTCCAGGGATTGCATTATCTGGTTAATGTAAGCATGTGTTATCACCAAGAAAGCCATAGATGGGTCTGAGAGTACTCTAAATGAGGATGGCAGTAGGTCCACATGCTCTTGACTGTGACTACCTTTTAAATGGCATTCATTTCTATCTCAATATTTGATTCTGACTCTACATTTACTGTTTAACAACTGTTTAAAGTTTTCTAGAACTTTTCGAAACAAAGCTGAAATCGTGTTTTCTGTTATCTGCTCCCCCCCCACACACACACAATTTTCATGGCTTTTCCCCCAGGATTACATTTTGTTGCACTCTGGAAGCTGGAAGACTTACTCAGCGCTCCTCACTCTGCAGATGTGTATAGGAGAGTGGTCAGGCTTCTCCTTTTCTTACTGAAGTCAAGAAAGCCCTTTGCTTTTGTTCTTCTATTACAGTGGCTCTAAGAATTTATTTGAAGAAAATGTCCTCTTGAGAAAATTTAAAGATCATTTTTCTTTGTACTAATACCCTAATACTTAGGTTTGCAAATTGTAGCACGTAGTATTATAATAACAATCATAGTTTATAAAACCACTTGTATTTTTTTGTTGAATCTAGAAAAGGTCTGTTTTGTTTTTCTATTTGTAGGTACTTCTAAAAATTTTGCCAATATTGCAGATCTCTGTGTTCATTTTAATGTCCTTTATCATATAAAATATTGATAACCCCATGTCAAGTTCCCAGTTTTGTTTCTGAAAGCTGACCATCTGTGAAGTCTTAGGCAGGAAGCCAGCATAGTCTGGAACTTGCTTTCCTAGAACCACTCAGAATGGTTGAGTATTTTTCTGTGCCATCCTTGGTCTGCAGTGCTGGACTGCTGCCATTACTATCTGTGTGCTCCACCTGTCTGAACTCCCTTAATGTAGATAATTTGATGGTTCTTTTGATCTCTCTCTCTCTCTCTCTCTCTCTCTCTCTCTCTCTCTCTCTCTCTCTCTCTCTCTCTCTCTCACCTGAAGCAATCCTAAATCCTAGCTATCTTTCACCTGGATATTCAGCAATCCAGATTAGGAACATAGGAGATGGAATCATTGTTAGTTTTTCTTCTGCATGTTATGCCACCATTATGGCCTAAGCAGCACTTTTCCCTTTATTTGATCTGTAAATGCTTTCTTAGTTTTAAGAAAAATACATTTTTTTTGCAGTTTCCATGATCCAGTAGTCAGCAGAAGGAAGTAATGAATGTGTTCAGTCATCTTGATAAAAGGGGCAATGTTACTGTGTTTATTTTTGCTGTGAGGTCTCTTTCATTCTTTCTGTCACAATCAATGTGATGATCATTATTCTTATTAATCTGAAACTTTCTAGAGCCTTGTTGCCACTTAAATTGAGTAATATTTTGATAGTTTTATATTTAAGCCATATAAAATATATTACATGGTTGGTATAAATTGATTTTTAAAAATCAAGAAGAAATCTAATAAGTGGAATTTAATAAAAATGTATTTCATATACTCCAGTATTTTTCTTAGATTAACCCAAGCCACAAACAAGACATTGAGAAATGTTGAGCCAAGTTGTGAAGCTTCATTAAGGAAATCTGGTGCTTTAGTTATAGTTAGTGAGGTACAATTTTTTCGGTTCTAATTGGGTAATATATATCATTAACATGGTATATTTTTATTATACGTGTACCTTTGCATTTCACATTTACGTACTCTAAAAATAATTAGCAAAATAGTTCTGTTTGAGTTTTTTATGTTACCTAGCAATAAGGGATTCATATGGATGATATACAAGTGATATTCACATATACTACCTTGATTTTATGGAACGAGGTCAAATATCAGTTTACATGTTATTGAAATAAGTTATATGTTTTTGAAAGCCAGTTTCCTTTGAATGTTCTGAATAGTATCTGTATCCAGATTGTCACAGAAGCAGCAGTGATAATATGGGTTAGCCATTCAAAAAGCTGTCGGTACCTTCTAGGTTGTCTAAGGTTGTGGTACTGCATCAACCTTCAGTGATGGTTAAGGACCTTTTCAAAACTTCTCTTTATGGTTAGAGCCCTATTTTCGCTATTTCTGAAATAGTGTAGCTTCAAATAACCCACTCCCAAAGAAAAAGTAAAGCAACATACTTACCAGGCACCAGCCTAAGCATTTTGCATACTCTGTTTCATACAATCTTAAAAGAACGTTGGTAGGTACTCTTACTCATATTGGCAATAAGGAAACAAGTACAGAGGCATTAAGCCACAAACTCGAAGCATATAAGTAATGCATTGTAGAAGCCAAGCATTCAACCCAGGCGGTATAAAGGAACACAAATATTCCTTGAATAAGTTTTGGTTACTAGTTCAGGTGATAAAATCATGCAGACCTTCTGGAGGTAGGAAAGGATTCTTATTTAGAGTTTTTCAAACAATAGTGATTTTAAAAACTGTATCATATTTTTATCTTTCTGACTAAATTTACATCTTGTCCCCCTAACCCACAGGAATATCGAAAACAGAAAAAAAAGTGAAATTGGAAGAAAAAAGCTCCACTGCATTTGGTATGGACAGAAAGTAATCTTTAAGCAAAAGACTAGAAAGCTTGACAGAGGACAGCATCTGTCTCTTCCCCGCCCTGCTAGTGCTCCTTACTGTGCCGAGAACATCTGCTTCTGTGTAACCTAGTTCAGCATCAGAGGCACCCACTCTCCAGGGCATAGTCATACTCATGTGTGTTCTGTGGGGGTTCTCTGAGTAACTGCTTCTGAACGTCTCTGGTTAAAACTATGGATAGCTGTTTAAAAATAAACCTCTATCTAATACTGAGACTTAGAGTAATGGGTGATATGTTAAAATAGTCATTCTTTTCACACGTTCTTCAGTATGCCTTATTAAAAGGTTACTGACTTTTCTACTGTCTTTTCTACCTTATGTTGAGTAATGACCAAAAGTCAAGAAATGATGGGTGACAATATAAAGTATTATTTCAGTTACCTAGCTGGAGTCACTGAAAATTGACTTAAAATAATTAGAAAATTGTGGGCTAGCCCATTCTGAACTGGAAAAATCGCTTCTAGAATATCTGTTCAGTTTAATTTGAAATGCAGTGTTCTGATATATTGCTTAGACATATTTATCTTGTTTAAAGTAGATATGATTAAAGAAAAGAATGCTTTTTGGATTTTTAGAATAGTCAATAGAATGAAATATTTTTTTTCTTGTTCTTTTCATTTATGTATACCAGGGGAAATACTTAAATATGGAAGGAACTATGTATAGATTAATTTGATTAAAATTAATTTTGATTTTCTTTTCTGGAGGAAAAAAAGCCATCCATCTTTTAAAAACTCTTTAAAACCTTATTAAATCATTTATAGAACTGCTGAGTCTCCATAATGAGGTCTTTTTTAAATTATGGGATTTAACTTCTTGGCACATAGTAGGAATTTCAGTTTATTACGCATTTAAAGATTTTAACTACTGTCTGTGTTAACTTTAAGGTGTCAGGAGTTGGGATTTTTCAACACTGCTAATGAAGATCCCCTCTTATAGTCCAATAAGCTAAGCAAGAGTTCCAGACTCATGACACGAACAGTTTAATTGAATCCGTCCACTCTGGGCAGGTGACTGGAATCACTGATGAAAACATACATGCTGCTTTGAGGGTAACCACAAAGGAGCAACTAAGGATCGCTCATGATTATTGAAGGATTTACTTTTATTTGTTTTAGGCAAAAGGAAAGAAAAGGATAAGGAGAGAAAAGAGAAGAGAGACAAAGATCATTACAAATCAAAGCAGAAGAAAAAGAAAAAGAAGAAAAAGAAATCTAAACAGCATGGTGAGTATGCTGAGATCTGTTTTATAGTATTTTGAGATTGTTCAACTCTCCTTTTCTCCCACCAAAGTAGGGGTATGATAAGGTAACCCACCATGTTGTTAAGAACTGAGACATTCTTGTAACTTTCCTTTGCCTTGTCATCCCAAAACCATCAAGTCTGTTCTATAAACTAAGTCCCAGCTGACTGGAGTCTTTTATTTTCAGCAATATGGTGGAGTAAGTACTATAACCACAAGCCCTTTAACATGATGAAGACAGTTTATTTCCCCCACCGTATATGTGTGTATGTGTAAATGTATATGTGTACATGGTCTTTTTTTTCTTTTCTTTCTGTCTGTGTGTGTCTATGTATACAGTCATGTATCCATGTGCACTTGCCCATGCATGTCTGGAGACCAGATTGTCAACATAGTGTCTTCTTCTATAGTTCTCTTAGTTTTCTAGACAGGGTTCTTCACTGAACCTGAAGGCAAAGCTTTCCATTTCACCTAAACTAGCTGTCTAAGTATCCTCTGGGTTCTGAGAAGTTCAGCTTGCATCTTTAGACTTCTAAGCCAGGAGTGATTGCTCACACCTGCAGTCCCAAAACTCAGGAGGCAAGGGAGGAGCATTTACACAAGTTTGAGGTCAGTCTGAGCTACATACTAAGTTTTAGAACAATGTGGGCTATGGTGTGAGATCTTGCCTCTAAAACAAAATAAAATGAAATAAAAATATTTCTAATATAAACACCAAAGAATAATATGATAGGGTATAATTTTCTAAATAGGAAAGAAAAGAATATAGTAAATATACTATCTATATCAAAAGCCAATTTGACTGAGGATTTGAAACAATAGACTATAAATAAGGTATTAGAAATAAATATGTCATCAGTTATAATTTATAAGAATGAATGACAGGACTGAAGTGATAGTGCAGTCAATATACATACTTCAGTGCCTTGTAAGTGTGAGGACCTAAGTGTTCCCAGAGCTATATTTGTATTGATACTCATTAAACCTTTAATAAAGCTTATTTAACACATACTTTTAGGCAGAAGGTGTCATAGTAGTTAATCATAAGTAGACAAATTTTTCAGATTTCAGCTCTCTCTGCAAATCTAAGTTTTCTATAGAATATGACATTTTCACATTTTCCAACTCTAAAACTGCCAGAGTAAATTTGTAGATTCAGTTTCAAGTGAGTTGATAATCTTAAAACCACTTCTCAGGGAATTCTGAGCATCCTAAGCATTCCTGTGTCTACCTTGTTCCTTACCTACCCTCATCCCATGCTGTCCTTGTTCCTTCATGTAAAACACTGCAGGATACATACCCTAGACAACCCCAGCTTGCGAGGTTATATATACAATAGAGTATATATACACACACACACACACAATAGAGTAATGTAAATAAATACCACTAACCAGGGCCGCTGAATAAGTGTCAACCTGCTAATGTAACTTCTAGATAAATTCTGGCTTCCGTGCTCAGGGCAGTGGCAACGACTAGTTCTATGTGCGTCAGATGTGTGCCAGTGCGCTGGTGTGCTCCACCATTCAGTACCAGACAGAAACACTGAAGAGTGGAGAAGGGAAACAACTAGGGCAAAGCTGGGGACAGGGAGGATTTATGAGCTGGAGGAAGTTATCCCCTTGGGGGAGGAAGGGTATTAAGGATTAGCAGAAGACAATCTACCCTTGGAGTGGGGATCAATTCAGTAACCTTTTATTAAGAGCCATTTTTAAAATTGCACCTTAAATTAATTCATCAATCTCCTAAAATAAAGACGCGGCCATACCTCTCATATTTTTTAACACTTATTTGTATGTGTGCATGTTAAAATGTGTATGGAAGTCAAAGGAAATCTTGCAGGATTCAGTTCCCTCTTTCCACCTTGTGGGTTCCATGGATCAAACTCAGGCTATCAGGTTTGGCTGCAAGCATATTTATTTACTCACTGAGTCATTTCTCTGGCCCATATATTTATATGTTGTAATAAAAAAAAGTTTTTCTACTTTTGTTTACAAGAGCTATGGCAAATATGGAGACCTTGCTATTTATAAATGAGAGTTAAGTTTGGTCATCACCAATATCTTCAGTATTAATCATAAAGTTATTCTGGGTTGTTTGCATTCATCTTTGAAGTGTTTCTGTCACAGATAATTAATTAGAATGGCCTTTAAACAGAAAGAAAGATATTTCAAATGGCTGAAATTTTAAAGACACTTAGTGCTGAACAGTGTTGTCTAAGACTTATTCTAAATGTTTGAGTCTAACATTAGCACAGTGGGGGAATTTAATTCTTTTATTTACCACTCAGTGGTGTTTTGCATATCCTGTTTTATTTTTTGTTTACCAAACAGTATCTGAGGATTTCATTTATATGAATTTATTTTATTATGTTACCCTTTGAAGTGCAGCCTGATAGTTGCATTTTATAGCTAATGTAGCAAAGATTTGTTTATGTCATATAGCTGCCAGGTAGTGAGAATCAGATTCAAGCCTGTACAGTAGGCTTCAGTCTTAGTTTTTAACTTTAACCATGAAGCTAGGTTGTTTATTTTACTTCCTTTGCCCTAAAGATTGCTTCAGACTGTATTCTTGCCTTGAACAAGTTTTCTCTTGTCTCTGGTGGTATACTGAAATGTCCTGTCTTCACCTGTTAGTATAGGTGTCATTTAGGAAAGTAATCATTTATTCAAGTAGCTCTTTATAATCATTCCATGCAGTAATGGGTTAGCATAGGCTTTTATTATCAGAACTGCTTTTCCAGATATAAAGCTGACATTGTGTTCAGTATGTGCATGGTAAGTTGCCATTTGGGGATTTATGAATGACATTTTACCAGTTTTTAGCTTTGTTCCTTTTCAGAGGTCTCTTCCATGTGTATGTTACTATGAGACCAAAGGCCCTGGAGATCAAAGGAAAGTAGAGCTAGAGATGCCAAAATGCCAAAACTACAGTGGAAAGAGTTTCCACCAATGATACAAGCATTGGTGTATCTAGTGTAAGTGATAGGACACACACATAAATGCCTGGATAGCTTGATAGTTCTGTAACAGTGTTAGAAAGTCAGCCTCAAAGCTGGAGGGATCAAAGAAGGGCAGGATTGGTACTCTCACGTAACCCTTGCAACCTAAAAGACTTTCTTCCTGATAGCTAGAGGGGATTGAAGTGGAGATGTATATGTGGACTGTAGAATGCCAAGTCATTGTATTTATTTGCTAATGTAGTATAGACCAATTAAGTGTTAGCTATGTTTGATTTTTAGCATCAAGTTACGATTTCTTTCACTATTATATTATTGGCCTCTACTTCATTTCCTTTTGCCCAGAAAGCAGTCACTATAAGTTACAGGTTTCATTTCTTGGGCATAACATTTACAACTGAGTAACCTTTGACAAATCATTTATATTTCCTATGTCTCAGTCTTCTCTCCTCTAAAATGGTTACTGCATTTTATGCTTCATCTGAGTAGCATCAGGATTAACTGAGGTTATCATTGTGCAGTGCTAGACACTGTATTTAGTATGATAATCACTGTTTCCATGCTTGCCTAGATGATAACATGGAGTTATGCAAATGGCTCAGTTGCTGTCAAGTCATATTATGTAAAGATCACTCCATCATTTGACAACAGCAGGATGGGTTGGCAGTGTTCCTACTTCCTGTATCCTGGGATGGTAGAGAGAAACCTGGGCTTTACCAGACATTCCAGTTTCCACACGTTTTAATTCTACTCCTCTTAGAGGTTATTGGTTAAGAGTGAGCTTCCTGGAATCAGTCTTCCAGGACTTATGGGTGTGAATGCAGTGACAGTGGACTGTTTTGAACAGTGTACTCAATGTACTCGGCCTTGATTCTTTGATTCATAAAATAACATTAGTAGCCAAACTCAATTCACTAGAGTTTTAAGAGTATTAAGAGTTAATTAGCACACAAAACTTACTTAAACTCTCATCTTTGCAGAGAGTCCTTAATTGGTGGCAGGTTAGTTATATTCTAGTTTGTATGGTGATCATTGTGTAAGCTCTCCTAGACAATGGTTTACAAACCATCTTCAAATTTTGGAGGTCGGAAGTCCAAATAGTTCTCTAATCTAAATCCTTGATTCCTTTTTGGAGGCTCCAACAAATAGTCCATAAATAATCAATGCTCCTTGCTTTTCTGGTTTTCAGAGGTTGCTGTGTGTCTTGGCTTCAGTCTTCTCATCTTATCTTCAGAGGAGCACCAGGCAGTCAGATCTTACCTGGGTTGATTCTTTTGCCTTTATCATTTTGAAATAGGCTCCTAGGATTTCACTGAGCCCACAGGGATAGCTTGTTCCCTCCTTTACAGACATCCCATTAGTTTAATTCTATCTGCAACTTGAATTCCCCTTTACCATGATACTTAAGTGTGTATAGGTTCAATTAGAGCATGAACATACATGGAGGACTGAACTGAGTAGCAACCAGATCTGTCATGACTATGTACCTATGAACTTGCCCTTGCAACTATTTACTCTCTGACCTGCCCTAGTCATGCTCAGTTGAGAAAAGACACAGGAGGTGAAAATTTGCTTTCTGTCCACATGTATCCATTTCCCTGAGCATGTCCATCTTTTCCACTGTTCCTGTTAAAATGAAAGGATTGTCTCTGGCATTTCTGAGCACTCCACACTGCCTCTTTAGGTTCATATAGATGGAGTCTAGGTAGTTTTCTCCATCTAAAACAAAAATCTTGCTCTCTAACTACCTGTTTCTTCTCTTATTTCCCATTCCCTGTTTACTCCCTAGCCCCGTCACAGACTACCATCACTACTTGATTCCTTAAATAAAACCTTGAAAAACAATCCTAATGTCACCCACTACTGTTCTCAGCTTGCATTCTACTGTTACTGCATGTTCCTTCTCAACTTCCTAGTCCAAGTCACCAGCATATTTTGTGTAGACCACTGCTATGGCCTATGACCAAGATTCCCCTTTTTCCATGTTTCCTCTGCTTCCTGTTCTGTCCTACTATTGGAGTGGTCTTGCAGAAATGAAGTGAGCCCATGTGTCATCCTGCCTTCCTTTAAAACCTGTGAATGGCTATTGGTTATATTAGAATAAAGCCTAAAACAGAAAAAACAGCAAAGAGCCCCATGTACTTTGTTGCAGCTGCTCTCAGTTCCTGTCCTACTTATCTCCCATACTGCCCCAGCAGTAATGAACTTGACAATCATGCGCTGTGCTTTTGACTTCAGTGCTTCCTAGCACCTTGGCTCCCACCCATGCTTTTCTCCCTCTATTCCCAGACTCCTCCCTCGGTAAGCTATATGAGCCCTTCTTGCTTGCATGACTCACCCAGGCTGAGAAGAGCAGGTCTTTGGCATACAAGTTCATTTCCTTCAAAGGTTTGTCTTATGTGTGCTTTTGTAAAATTGATTAAATTATCAGTACAGTTATGCTAGACATCTAGGAGAACCTCTTACCTAACTGACAGAAATAGGCTTATTCCTTCATATTTGTCTTGCTGGAGGTATAGCTGTGAAAACAATGGAGAGAAATGTAGACATGACCCTTTATCATTCCTTCATTTTAAGAGTTTACTGATAACCATGTAGATTCTGGCAGTCTAGTTATCTACACTATATGGAGTTACTGATTTCGCTTGTTCCTGCCAACATATTCATCAGCTGCATAATGATGTAGCTGGTCAAAGATGACAGGGAAAGTGGTTGTATGGTTTTGTGTATTCTCATGACTTGTGGTGACTCCTGATTCCTTGAAACTTTATTAATGTGTCTTTCTGTTTTCATATTGCAGACTATTCCGACTATGAAGACAGTTCCCTAGACTTTTTGGAAAGGTGCCCTTCTCCATTAACTCGATCTTCTGGGAGTTCTTTGGCTCCACGAAGCACATTTACAGATAAAACTACAGCCTATCAGTACCCGAGGGCAATTCTGTCCGTTGATCTTAGTGGTGAAAGTATGTGTGACTGTGTAGTGGCTATAATAAGACCTGAGATTCCTCAGTATAAAATGGAGAATAAGTATACTTCTTAGGTTGCTGGTCAAGGAAGCCTTTCAATTGATAGTAATTATAGAAGCTAATAGGAAAATCTCAACATTGGACTTAAATGCAAACTACTAACTAATAATATTTTATTATTACCCAAATCTTATAGTTCATTAGGCAGATGCTTGTTTAAATAATTATGTGGGTGCAATAGTGTTATATGTTCTTTGGCCTATTAACCACCTAATCCTTTCCAGGCCAACTCATCTTCTAAGAGGGAGAATATTTTCTTACCTTACTGTTAAAAATAGGCAAGAAGTGACTTTCAAGATCTTAATTTTGAAAAGTTTGAGGTAGTGGGGAGGGTTAAGAAAAAGCTCCTCTCTTCCCACTATTCTCTTTACCAGCAGGCACAGTTCCTTTTTCCATTTGGTCCAGTGGTTTTGTTGTTGTTTTTTTTTTTAACTGGACCAGATGCGCACATCATAATCCTTGCCTTTAAAATGTTATAGTCTTGAGTCCAACCACAGAGCACAGAGGTTGTTAAGATAGAATAGCTGCTTGGTGACTCTGGGGAACTTATAATGTGACCCTTCCCATGAGCCATCAGGATCTGCAGGTTGGCTTTTGTTCAAGAGTACTGTAGGCAAGGGATGGATCTGAAGTGACAAAACTTGAGAGAGTAGAGACTCACAGGACTGCACCCTCTTGCTGTTTGTCTACCCTATCTTGCTTGGAGAAAGAAAGAGGCAGAGGTTCTCAACCATCAGTGTTTGACACAGCCACCCGGAGAACTTGTTAAACACATTCTTTTAGCCTTACCCTCAGAGTTTGTATGAACAAATATTCAGGTGATGCCAGCATTGCCTGATCTGGAAGCTCTCCTTTAAGAACACTGTCCTGGGACATAGCAATGAGAGCTGAGGGGTAGCAGTTTGAAAGGAGCAGGTCTCATAAAGCTGCTCAAAATCATTATCCTGTGACTTCTCCTGTGATAGTGTAAGAAGAACGTTGATATGTATATCTTATGTAACTTTCACCCCAGTGACTCAATTGCTCCTCCCCCAAATTGAACCAAACATATGCTTAATACTTGCAAGTCAATTATATAAACAAGACTCTCTGGTGGATTTCTTAAGTATGTATGCCAGTACTATGAAACCTGATATTCAGACCATGTATGTTTATGTTAATTGTAAACTACTTCCTTTTAATAAAATAGTTTAAAATTTTTTTATATTATGATTGCCATCAATTTAGTGTCTTACTTTGTAGCCCAGGATGACCTCAAATTCTTGATTGTCCTATTTTAGCCCCCAAATGCTGAAATTAGAAGTATGAGCCACCAGCCCTGCTAAGCAGTTGATGCTTAATTGCCTTTATCACTACCTGGCTGCACAGTTTAACCACATTATATGTTGTGTGTAAATTCTTGATATAATGCTTGGCATACGAAGTGCAATCATAGTTGATTAAAAGATTATTATTTCTATAGTACAAATTATAAAACTCATTCTTTTACAACCAGAATGGCGCTAATATTTGTGAACATTCAATCAAAAGTTTGCAAACTGTATAGAAACTAATAAGTTTTTTTGTCAGTATCAGCCTGAACCATTAGCCTGTGTTAGCAGGCAGAGTAGTGGCTAGTTAGTATTACTTTCAGCAGTGTAATTATAAATGAGATGGAAAGCACCTGATCAACACAACCTTTAAAGATGAACTGTTTTTTTTTCCAGAGGCAGGTACTCAGTTCACATGTGTTTGTTTGCTGAAATGCTTACACTCGCTTCCCATAGCTCCATTCTTTCTGATAAGTGACATGGAAATGGTATGCACTTTCATGTGTTCTAGACTTGTCGGATGTGGAGTTTCTGGATGACTCTTCCACAGAGAGTCTGCTTTTGAGTGGAGATGAGTACAATCAAGACTTTGATTCAACTAATTTTGAGGAGTCTCAGGATGAAGATGATGCTATTAATGAGATTGTGCGATGTATCTGTGAAATGGATGAGGAAAATGGCTTCATGATCCAGGTACTTGGTCAGCCTCTGCCCTGCAGTTCTGGATCACGTGGGTGTTGAGTAGGTGCATAAGAGCTCTTCTCCTCTTTACTGGCCATCCCTCACAAGGTAGTTTATAACACATTGCCGTGCTTTGAGCTCCAACAGTACTGGTTAGGAAGTCTCTCCACTGAATGACGCAGACACGGTTTGTGATTATCACTGTCCATTGTAGGCTCTGTGTTAACAGATTGAGGCCCTCAGACTAAAATGTTTAAAGGTCCATAAGGTGAGGTTTCCTCCACAATGGAGGGTTGAGCACAGCATGGCTTTGCTGACACTTAATAATCAGTTACTTTTTGGGTAATAATTAGTTACCCTTTGGGGAGTGGTAATCAAAACCCAAATGTCCAGGATTCCCCAAAGAGAAAAGAACTTGGTTATAAGGGGAAACAATGCTTCCTTCTAAGACGGGTGCCTCTGAGAAATCAGGGCAGCATGGCCCGTATTTGTGTTGGTATGTAGGAAAATTAGGAAACATAGACTACAGGAATGAAAAAGGTAACCACCTTCTTTGTCAGTGGTGATAGTGTTCTCAGATGAAGGTGCTGTGAATTTAGAATTTTACCACGAGTATTACCTTAGTGTCATTGCACAGACATTTTAGAGATTTGCCTCAGTGTTTTCAGGATTTGATTGTCTATGAATCAGGAGAGAACATGGGGCATTTCTCTTAAGTAGTTTATTAAAGTGTATTTTAATAGATGTGATATAAAATAGTTTTTTAGATAGTTGACTATTTCAATGATAAAATTTGTCTTAAACATGACTTTTTCTTATGGCACATAGGTCTTTAACTGGCAGTGCCAGAAAGTAGGTCAGCTAGTTAAAAGGCGACAATGTGTGTCTTCCCTTGCCTGTCCTGGTCTGAGAGTGCCATTTCTATCCTGGTCTGAGGGTACCATTTCAGCCAGCACTATGGGTCTCTTCTGTTCTCTGCAGTGTGAAGAGTGCCTGTGCTGGCAGCACAGTGTGTGCATGGGGCTCCTGGAGGACAGCATTCCGGAGCAGTACATCTGCTACATCTGTCGGGACCCTCCGGGTGAGGCCCTCCGCCCCGTGTGGGTTGTGTGACGCGGACTCCAGAGTATGGCCACTGTGTAGAGCACCTGCACTTCTTGGTTAGCTAGACTCCTCTGCCATAATGTGGGTTGAAGATACTTTTTGCCTGTTACAGTATGACTATCCTAGTAATCACCTGCACAAACACATGTATGTAGACATGTTGACATACCAACCATCTTAACGAAAGGGAGATTATGGCTTTCTCCTGTAGCTAGCTTTTGGCTACTCCTATGTATTGATTTCTAGCTGGCCTTATTTATACTGGTTTGAGTGGACCAATGTTCATTGCCTGCTGTCCATCTGATGAGTTTAGAAGTTTTGGGTAGTGCCACCTACACAGTTATTGTAGAATAAATGGGGTTCCAGAGCCTTGCCTATATCTTTTATTTCTTAGGTGAAACAGCTAGATGTGGGAAGTCACATGTTTGTGCCTAAAGAGGCGCCACTAAGTGGCAGACTGAAATGAAGCTCCCAGTCCTTTGTACTTGCTTTGTTATGCCCTCCTCTATGCTAAGTACCACGTTCTACCTGTAGAATATAGTTTCAGCTACCAAGGCATAAAATAACTAGTTAGTCAAGTGTACTCTTCCCAAACCCACCAAAAAGACAAAGGAAAAAAAAAATATAAGAATTCAGAGAGATACAAGGAAGGCTTAGTAAGGTGTTTTCATTCAAGCAGGAAGACCTGTGTTCTGATTTCTAGTATCCATGTAAAAGCTAGGCATACCTAGAATCCCAGAAGTGTGGAAGCAGAGACAGAAGGCACCCCTGGGCTTTGTTGGCCAACCAGTCTAGCTGGGCCGTAAGTTCCAGATTCCACGGAAGATCCTGTCTTAACAACTGAAGTGAAAAGAAATAAAGAAGCATAGCCTCTGGCCTCACACATGTAAACAAAAAAGAAAGAGAATTGTTCAGAGCTATGTGGATATAAACACTAATTTATTGTTTATGCTTCTATTATAGATGTTTGCTATTCATTGTATGTCTTCAATAACAAATACAGCCTATCACTGTCCCTTCGATTGCTTTTTTTGAATACATTCTATCTGTAAACATCTAGGAATGATGACTGATTCAAACTATTCATGATCCTCATAGTTACACAAACACAGGCGCATCTAAGAGGACCTGATATGTATTTAGCATTGAGGTCTAGGATATTGTAGCGTTGTGTGAGATCACTGTCATGAAGATAGGATCTGTACTTGCTTAACTATAGCTTTACTTCATCTGGGTATGATCACGTTAGTGAAAGAAACCTGTGGTTTCTGCCAGCCATCTTAGAGGACAGCTGGCTGATTTATAATATTGAAAATAGTTCACCAGAGTTCTCTTGGCAGGTATCATCTGCCACTGGCCACACCCTCAGTGGCATTCCTTCTCATGGATAGGCTCACCAAAAGTGCTAAGGAGCTCTTGACATCTCAACTTTCCTCAGCGTGCTATCTAGTACAGTTTAGAGGCCACTTTTAGTGGTAGAACTTGTCTTAATGAGGAGCATTAGTGGGAAGGATCTGAATAAATAGGATCCTTTATAATTTTAATTTCAACTTCATCTGCAGGTCAGAGATGGAGTGCAAAATATCGCTATGATAAAGAATGGTTGAATAATGGAAGAATGTATGGGTTGTCTTTTTTAAAAGAAAATTATTCTCATCTCAATGCCAAAAAGATAGTTTCCACACATCATCTGCTTGCTGATGTCTATGGTGTGACTGAAGTCCTGCATGGGTTACAGCTGAAGATTGGGATACTAAAGTAAGTGAACTGACTCACACTGCCTTACACAATTTTTTAATATTTTATTTTTATTTTGTGACTGCATTTATGAATGTGTATCACATGGGCATGGTACCTGTAGAGGCAAGGAGAGGGTTGATTCCCAGGAACTAGTTATACACAGATCTGAGCTTAGCTTTGCAGTCCCATTCTTACAATCTGAATACAAATACAAATCTTTTATTTATTTTACAAATAAAAGTATAACATTAGTTAATCATAAATATAAAGACAAACTAAAAGAAATAAATTTAAATAGGTTTTTTAAAAAATTATTTTATTGGGAGGAGGTTTAGAAATAAAATTGTCTTCACAGATTGTAATATAGTTTATATCAGGTAGTCTTTTGGAGGTCCAGAGTAGTACTTCAGAAGACAGACTATTTAAAAGACATCTACTTTTTAAAAGTAAGAAAAAATGATTAACTATTTGTTGGCAAGCTCTGTCTACCTGATTCAAATCCTACTATGTCAAAAGATTTTAGAGCTCATGTTGTGTGCACAGAGCTAACCGCAGCTGCTGTGGTAAGTCTGTTTTCACTCTCTGATGTAATATACAATGAATTTAGTCAACTAGGGTGATGTGTTCTTCAGTCAGCTTAAAACTCCGAAAGGGTGAGGGTGGAAACAGATTCTGGATCACCTTTGCTGCTGTGCACTGTAATGTTTTAGCCTGAGGATAGTCTCATTTAAGGAAAGCCCAGGTCCTTCTACCTAAAGTCTGGCTAGTTTTGAGGGGTTGTGCTCATTTTCTTCTAAAGCCAGGCCAGCCTTATTTAAAGAACACAGGAAAGATCCTTTTATTTTATATAAAGTGGATGGTCTACTCCCAACATTTCATACTTCTTCCCTTTTGCATCCAGAGGCCCCATGCCCTTTTTTGTGAGTCTGAGATTGCTGTGTTTTTGTTTTTTTTTTTAAATATAATTTTTTATTGAAAAAAAAGAATTCCGCCTCCTCCCCGCTCCATCTTGGTCTAGGAAGGTGGACATCCAAACTGGCTAGGCTCCCACAAAGCCAGAACATGAAGTAGGATCAAAACCCAGTGGCATTGTCCTTGGCTTCTCAGCAGCCCTCATTGTCTGCCATATTCAGAGAGTCCGGTTTTATCCCATGGTTTTTCAGTCGTAGTCCAGCTGGCCTTGGTGAGCTCACAATAGATCAGCCCCACTGTCTCCGTGGGTGGGTGCACCCCTCGTGGTCCTGACTTCTTTGCTCATATTTTCCCTCCTTCTGCTCCTCCTTGGGACATTGGGAGCTCAGTCCAGTGCTCCAGTGTGGGTCTCTGTCTCTATCTCCATCCATCTCCAGATGAAGGTTCTATGGTGATATGCAAGATATTCATCAGTATGGCTATAGGATAGGGTCATTTCAGGTTCTCTGTCCTCAGCTGCCCCAGGAACTGCTGTGTTTTTGACGTGCTCTTCTGCCTACTCTGTTGTCTCAGCCAGACAACAGAGTTTAATTTCACCTGATAAGTTTCTGTGGCTCTGTTCTTCTCTTGCTTTATTCTTCACTCCTGATAGCAGCATTCACATTAATGACACAGAACATTAGCTTCTGTTATGCTGTAATTTCTTCGTGCTGCCTCTGTCAGAAGATCTTGAATAATAGGATTTTATTGCATACCTTCCTTCTTACTGTTTTGACCAATCGTTCCAGCTATACCAAAACATAATCTTTAAATGAAGTATGATTTCTTAGACATTCAGGTCTTTTTACAGCTAGTTTCCCTAGATATGTTTCCATCATTGCCTGCTGGCTAGATTTGAGCCCGCTCTACTCTGTACATTGCATATATACTGAAACCATCATTCCTTTTAGGTAGGCTTTGCACCTTAAAGTCCTTCTGAATTAGGATTATAAGTGTGTGCTACCAGGCCCAGCTCTAGGTATAGGTTTTCAGAGTGTCATGTCACCTCTCCAAACTGGCAAGATTCATTCCACTGGACTGTGGAGGCAAAGAACTAGGTTTCTTCCTAGTATGCCTTCTACTTACTGAGAATTTTAAGTAACTATTTTCTGGATATTAAATTGCTAAAAGTCTAAAAGATAAAAGATGATAAAATGAGAAATTATAAATGTGTATATAAATACTAGAAGAAAACTGATTAGAGTTTCATTTAGAAATTATTAATTTGCAGCCATTGTTTTTTTTTGGACTTATAACTATTTTATTGAGTAGTACATATCCAAATGTTGCCATTATCCATTTTAAGTTTAAGAATATTAGCTTAATGCCCTAGTGAACAAAGTCAGAGACTTTCTCATTGACTCCCACAGTGCGAACATTTTTGGTTTTTTTTTTTTATTATTATTATTATTATTATTATTTATTAAAAATTCTGTCTCCTCCCCGCCACCGCCTCCCACTTCCCTCCCCCTCCCCCAATCAACTCCCCCTCTCTCATCAGCCCGAAGAGCAGTCAGGGTTCCCTAATTTGCAGCCATTGTTGAGCCTTTAGGAGGAGTCATAACTTCTGAGTAATCTTGTACTTTATTCTGAGCAGAACCCTGCTTTGCTTGAGCATTACTATAGACCACAGTCAATATGAATAACGACCCTTCCCAGGAGGCCAATTGTATAGTAACTAAAATAAAAATATATATTCTGCAGTTCCTTATCTGGAAATTGGTCTGAGTGCAGTATTTTAACTTGTGTTCAATGATACATGTGCATACACATCTATCAGTGGAGAACTGATGGGATAGACTAGATTGACAATTAATATTATTTATCCATTAAAGTCTAAATAAATAAAGTCTGTGTGTACTGGTGTGGCTAGATGCCCACTATGTGCTGTTTAGGAAAAAGGAAAGGTATGAGGAGTCCTATTTGTATAAACAATTTCTTAAAGTATACTTTTCTTTAAAAAAAAAAAACACAAAATACAAAGATTTATTTGTTCCTGTTTGTATATGTTAGTACCCACATGTATGTGTATACATCAAGTGTGTGCAGAAGAGGGCACTGAGTCCATGGAACTGAAGTTATAGGCAGTTATGAGCCACCTGGTGTAGTGCAGGAAACTAAACCATTCAGATCCTCTGCAAGAGCAGAAAGTGCTCTTAGCTCCTTAATTTCCTCTCCAACCCCTCAGTTTCCTCTTTTACATAATTTTGGATGTATAGAAAAAGTCCGCAAAATTATATCGCAATTAAAATTGCTACAGTGGAATAGACTTTTGTTTTTTATGTGTTTAGTTGTAGAACTTTTCTCATGAATACAGCTTTTATTTTTGATTGACTAAAGGTTATAAAATATGCTTGCATAAAGTTTATATATCATACAGTGACAGTGAAAAGTATATAAAGACATGTGTGTATCAATCAGTGACTTTAATCAACAGAAATAAGTTCATTGTTGATTTTCTGAGTAGTATTTCTTTAAAACTGAGAGGGGGTTGAATTTTGGATAAAATGCTAGATGAATCAACTTAAGAACAAATTTTTCTTTGATCCTGTCCTATTTCTCGCATGGTTACCAAATCTATTACAATTTTCAGGTTGTTGTCATTCTTTTCCTAAGTGCTATGTCTCCGTTCTTCTTTTAAGGAATAAACATCATCCTGATCTTCGTCTCTGGGCTTGTTCTGGGAAGAGAAAAGACCAGGATCAGACAGTAGCTGGAGCAGAGAAAAAACTGACACTTCAGGACATAGCTAACTCAGAGGGAAAAAAATATGTACAGAACCACAGAGAACCACCTCTGAAAATGGAAGGAACGTATATAACAAGTGAACATAGCTATCAAAAGCCACAAACCTTTACTCAGGACTGCCAGTCTCTCACAGACCCTGGAAGCTCAGATGATGATGATGATGCTAGCAGTTTTGAAGAAGATGGAGAACTCCGCATGGGAAATAAAAGCCATCTTCTGTATTCAGCAAAAGAGCATGGAGTGTCAGAGAAGGTAATGGTTCCCATAAGAATAAGAGAATGAGCTGTTAGCATTAAACACACCTAATCCTTGGGCTTTGCTAATACAGAAATACCTGGCTAAAGATTTTAAAGTTTTATCTTTTCTCTGCCACAAAACATTATCCATGTAAACATTGAGTTGTTATAATCCACCCATCTGCTACCCTAAAGTTCATAAGAACTATTGATGTCTCCAGAAACTAATGACCCACATTTTTTATCAAAATGAAAAATGAGTTTTGTGGGAGCATTTGGTTATATATGGTGTCATGTTTAATATGTTTTGGATAAAGCATGACCCTACACTTCCAAATCTGTAGCATATTTGTCTGCATATCAATCCCATTATCAGTAACTGTTAACATGTCTCCTGTTTGTTGGGCTTAGCACTGAGATTGAAACGGCTCCTAATGCCTTATTGATTTTCCACTAGCAAGGCCACTTTAAAACTTGTTCTTTATTATTCTGGTTTTAAAATCATCACCAAAAGTTCACAGCTAAATTTGGAAAGCTTATATATCATGAAACTTGTAGCAAATTATTTCATCAAATTAATATCCTTCTCTGAAACTAATTACCTTTGGCAAATCTAAATCTAGATTTTATGTGTATGTTTTGAATAGTTTGCATTCTGATGTTTTTAAAAAGATTCTTATCTTCCTTTAGTTCACCAGTATAAACACAATAATAAAGGCCAGTGTATCATCAACTGAACTTTTAAACTAGTGTCTTATAGTTTGCTTGATTTTTTTTTCCAATCATTGATCTTCCTTCACTCCATTTATGTCACCAGTTGGAATTAATGAATTAACTGAGGGAGAAAATGGTCCACGTTACTAGTCAATCCAACTATGGAATGGAATTAGTGTGTACATTTACTTAGCACATTTTACTGAAATCGTCTCCTGTGAGGCACACTCTGGAAGGCATTGAGGAGGAGGGATTTAGCAAGATGTTTAGTTTGGAAGAGCGCTAGATGGAATTTCATGGTGTGCAGGAACTTTCTCTGAAGACTTTCTCAGAGTCAGATTGTCTTCTGCCTGCCTATGTAGGGGGATAGGTTTTACTCTATCCTTCTCATTTTAAAGTAACATTTCATCCAGTTCTCTGTGTTTTGTTTTATTCTGTTTTGTTCTATTTTTCCCACTGGTCCTTTGTAGAAGAATCCTGCTTCAGGAAATAAAGTGTTTGTTTATAATGAGAAAAGGGGCACAGAGGGCCCAGGAGATTCACATCTTCAGTGGCAGCTAAATCTCCTCACGCACATAGAAAACGTGCAGAATGAAGTCACCAGCAGGATGGACCTCATAGAAAAAGAAGTGGATGGTAATGTAGCCAAGAGCTCAGTTGTAACTACTATCATCTATTTAGTGTTGTTATGAAGAAGATGTTTGGAGCTAAGTTGTAGGATGCAAACTATCTAGACCCTACCTGATCTCTGTCTCTTCCTTTATGTTGTATTTAGCATGTGCAGGATGTTGTAGGACAGGATGGTGGTATTATCTTTAGTAGTGGTTGCTTGTCTGTTTTGTTTTATTCAAAATTTGGATATTTATTAAATACTGCCCATTTGCCAGGTTTTATATGGAATATTTGGGGGAGTGTTAGTTTATTGAAAAATATTTTCTTCAAAGTCAACACATTCATAAGCATATTCATTTGTACTTTGGCTTCTATTTGTTAAGTAGAATTAGTTCCTGCAAATTAAACAAGTAAAACATAAGTTTGCATGCAAATTTTCAAATAATTTTCTCTCACATCTATATAAATTTTATCATCACATAGAAACTCTGAAAAGTAGCCAAAAAAAAACCCATTTTATATTTGAGAAACTAGAATAAATTAAATTCCAGGAATCCCGTATGTTTCTTTTGGTTTGACTATTTTGTCCTGACCTCATAGAAGATAGCCTGCCTCTACCCTTTAGTCCTTTTCCTGTAAATACTGCATTGTGCTAAGGTAGACATGCTGTGCTTATGCCTTTCTCTCCCTTAAGAGAGGAAGTGGATACCTTTTTCAAAAGCATCTTACATTTGATTTTAATTTCATTAGCTAGAGGTAGTTTCTCTTCTGTGGATTTTTGAAGAAATGAAACTGTGTTTTGACAATTCCATGTTTTTAATAGATTTTTTTTAAAAGGAAACAATGAAAATTGAGCATGTAAATTCGTTGATTGAAGTCTATCTAGTATTTTAGTCCACTTGAATATCTTTTTTTCAATGTTTCAATAAAGAAGTGATCCTGAAGGACCCTAAGAAACTGTTACCTCTTTCCTTTGTTAATGAGGAAGATGTGGCTTGGAGAGATGGCAAATGGTAAAGCATTTATTTTGCAAGTATGAAGACCTAAGTCCAGATCCCTAGAAGCCATGCAAGTAAAAGCCAGGTGTGATGGTATGCACTTGTAATCCCAGCAATGATGATATGGGAGGTGGAGGCAAGTTGATTCCTGGCACTTGCTGGCCAGCTAGCCTAGCTACTTGGCAACATTCCTGGCCAATGAGAAACCTGGTCTGTAAAATGAACAGCGGGCTGCTTCCTGCCGCCCAGCTCCCCAGCTAGTTTTTTTTTTTTAATATATTTATTTTATTGAGTATACAATATTCTGTCTGTTTGTATGTCTGAAAGCCAGAAGAGGGCACCAGACCTCATTACAGATGGTTGTGAGCCACCATGTGGTTGCTGGGAATTGAACTCAGGACCTTTGGAAGAGCAGGCAATGCTCTTAACCGCTGAGCCATCTCTCCAGCTCCCCCAGCTAGTTTTACACCCAAAATAACAACACACAAATTGTATTCATTTAAACGCTGCCTGGCCCATTAGCTCTAGCCTCTTACTGGTTAACTCTCACATCTTGCTTTAACCCATTTCTATTGTGTATTACCAGCATGAGTCTAACCACCATCTGTCTTGGGTAGGAGAAGCATGGCGTCTGCCTGACTCTGCTTTCTTCCTGCCAGCATTCTGTTCTGTCTACTCCACCCATCTAAGGGCTGGCCTATCAAAAAGCCAAGGCAGCTTCTTTATTTGACCAATGAAAGTAACATATAGACAGAAGACCCTCCTACATCACTGGTCTCCAATAAAAGGAGTATAATGTCTAAGGAACAACATCCGACTTTTCTTCTGACCATCACATGCACACACAAACACATGTACACAAAGGAGAAGATTAAGTAAAAATGATTTATATCTAAATTAGTAGAAAGTTTGAGCAGACATGAAGAACTGTTATTTTCTGTTGCTGAAGAGAGTGAATGAGGCATACTAATGAATGTGTATGTGTGTGTATGCATATTATATATACTAGAGGGAAGACATCCTAAATGAAGTATGTATGTATGTGTATGTACATATAGGGTGACAGGGAATGGGTCTGGGTATGTAGCTCAGTAACAGAGCACCTGTTTTAGGTTCAATCCCCAGTGTTTCAGGGGGAAAAGTGTCTGAGATAGCAGATGAAGATCACCTAGAAGGATTAGAACTATTGTGGGTAGAATGCCTGAAAAGAGGGAAGTGAACTCTTTGTTTCCGTCACCAATTCCATCCTTCTAGTTGATTGTCTTCTGGCTGTTCTTTTAATGTCAGGTAACATATTTTCTCTCTTTCTCCTAGTTCTGGAAAGCTGGCTTGATTTCACAGGAGAATTGGAGCCACCAGATCCTCTTGCAAGACTGCCCCAACTTAAACGCCACATAAAACAACTCTTACTTGACATGGGCAAAGTACAACAAATAGCAACTCTTTGCTCTGTATAACAATAGTAAATACTCAGTGGCAAGAATGTGTCTTCAGCTAAGTGGATAGTCAAAAAGCTTAGTAATGTTTGGTCATTTACTGATTTGTGACATCAGTAGTATGGCATCGTGGAAGGAAAATGAAGAACAACTTTATCAAGGAAACTGATATTAAAAATGAGTGAGCAAGCTGCAAATGCTAATGTCATCTATGCCAAGAATCAGTGCATAGAATACCGAGTGCTATACTAAAGGGGCAGAATTGGCAGGATTCTTATAGTTGCTTTCACAAAGCTCAAGATACCTGTAGAGAGAAATATGGTGTGTTTATATAGACTCTAGAAGAGATACCCATCTCTATAAACCAGCATTTGGCCAAAACAACACTGTAAGGAAATTCAAGTTCTGGAGAGTTCTACACATTTGCTCTAAGAATTGCCTTCTCAACAGTTGGATACTGCTGCAAAGATACTTAGGTTATTTAAACTTCTGGAGGATCATGAGCTATTTCTTGGGTGATGAATGTATTTAATCAGAAAACTGACAATGGAAGTCTCACTTTCGGGGAAACAATTGTGGAATTCTAACTTCATTATGAATGTATTTTAAGAAACCCACCAAATAATTGGAATTTATTGCGGGCATTGTGCTCTTTAAAAACAAAGTGGCTTACAAAAGGGCCCAGTGTGCCAAATGTTGATACTGCTGGAAAGAGGGCTTGAATATTGCAGGAGTCCTGCCACCCGCCGTACACAATGCCATTAACCATACAGTCCTATGCACCACATGCTGTGTGTGCTCTGTGTAGGTGAGTGGCACTGTCCAAGCTTCAGCATACAGTTTGATCCTGGATATGCTTGGTGTGTTTGTCTTTTGAAAAAACAAAAAACAAAGAAAAAAAACCCAAACCTCAGCTGGGATGAGGAGTGACAAAAATATCAAAATAATCTGTGGCTGTAGTTTTTTTTTTTAACTGCTAGTAGTGGAATACTGGAAAAGCTTCATTTCTGAAGACAAATTTTATTTTAAAAGATAAATATGCATTCAAAAATTTTAGCTTTGATCATAAATGGACAGATTTATGAAACCAAAGGCAACTAAGTTGCTTACTCAGCTCTTGCTGGATTTTTGAGCCTAGGTCCTACTGTCTGCCAGTCCTGGTGTGAATTGTGTGCACCCCCCAGTGCTACATGTGCAGGTATGCGTAAGTGAGTCTGTTTGTTTAAATAGTCAACGTACATATGTACATAATCAACACATATTTATATCACACATATCTAGTTTTATTACTATAGACTATACAAATCGGTGGTTAACATAAAATGTTACCTTTTAACAGACTGTTTTTAAAAACGAAAAATGTATGTACAGGTTTTGAAATTTTTTTAAAAAGGGGAAAAGACTGTAAAGAGGAGGCTGTTTGATGACATTACACTTGAATATTTTTTGCCTCATTCTGTTTATCAGTTCTAGCTGTCTATATAAACTCATTTAGAACTGATAGACAGTGAACTTGAATTTATCTTTGATAAGAATTCATGCCACTGTACATTCAGATATTTAAATTTGCAAACACACTGTTCTATATGTAAGGTACTGTATGTAAAACTCTATTAAAACTATTCCACTTATTCTAAAATTTCAGCTTGCCTTTTTGTGGCCTTATGTTTTGATGTGAAGATTAAAAGAATGTGCAAAACATTGAGAAATATTTTTATTGCCTTTTGAGATTTTTCCAACTGACAAATGTGCCAAAGATCACCATATGTAAAGTTTATTCCTCTGTATTTACTTGTCATATCCAAACTTTGTCAGAGCTCCTACTGATGAAAGCTTTAGCAGAAGTCATTGTGGGGTAATTGCTTAAATTTGCATATTAAAGTAAAACTTAGTGCCTATAACCCATGTGTGGAGTAATTTTACTAATGTCTGTTTTAAAATTGATACTTTATTGTTGGTTTATGTTTTAAAACGATAGCTCTAAAGCTCTCAACTGCAGCTGAGACATTGAATTTGCATCTTCTTTTCAGAAATAGAGACAGTAATGTCCTTAGCCTGTGAATAGTGGTGTTGCCTTGATTTTTGTCATATATGCAGATGAGCTCTGCATTCAGTTATACTCAGCTTCTCAGTTCTGGTGACTTTGGTTAAAGTAATGCACAGTGTTGTGGTATAGACTAAGTGTCCCTAACACAAAAGTCTGGAATGCTCTAAATGTGGAGTGCCAGCTTATCTCCACAAGAGGAAAGTTCAACATCTCACTGTGTGTGTGGTAGGATCACTATCAAAATGCAGGCTTGCTAAAGATTCAGTGTACAATATCTTCAAGCTATGTGCTTCAATTGTACACAAAACAGTAGTGAAGTTCATGTTTAAATTTAACTCTCATGCCAAGAATGTGTCATGATAAAATGTAAAGATTCCACTATTGAAGAAAACACCAAATCCAAAACATTGTCCTTCCTGAGCATTTCCAGTAATGAGCAATAAACCTATATTTCAAAATTCAACCACTTTGTTAGCTGCCAGCAAATTGAGTGCTTCATTAACAGAACATGCTAAATGTTCTGATTGCTTCTTTGTCAATGAATGAGAAAGCTGATCCTTAGATTTCAAGCTTTAAAGGCTATATGATTATGTGCACATATGCTGTTACTATGGAGCCTACCCACAACTGCGTGAGGCCCATTAGCAGCTAGAGAGGGCAGAACTTTTCTTTGAGAGAATGTTTTAACTTTGGAGAAGCAAATTGATTATGAGGTGTCAAGTAAGATTTGTTTTCCCTCTTATTCTTACCTAAAATCATTGTACTGAAATGTGAGCAATGAACTGGAGAGGGTGTTTCCTTCAAAGATAATATTTCATTTCCCAGACAGAAGAAAACAAGTCCTGGTGGAGGGATTCCTCCTCATAATTTCTGGCAAATTTAATTTGTACTTTCTCGTGGTTGTCTGTGGGTCCACTGACTGTGGAAGTAATGTACTTTCTCCTTAAAGGAATTGTTATTCTCATAATTTCAGGCAAAGCCCCTGTTCCTATTTGTTTCAACTCCATGTTCATACTAAAATGTGCATACTTCACATGGTCAGACTGAAGCATACTTCTTCCCTAATAAACCAAATCTGCTGCCATTGTCACTGTCTTGGTTAATAACATCCTGTCGGTCTGTGTTTGACATGCAGACTCAGCATTTAACAGTCATTTCATCACCACATGTAGTGATTCCTTAGAACAACATCACTGTCTTCCTTGATCCTGCTGGGGACTCGTAAACAAGGTCATGAAGGTATGAAGCAGTTTCGCTTGCCTCTGTCATTCTAGCTGTGTTTTCATTCTGAGTCTTCAAAACTCTCATTGCTAGACTAGAGAATTACGCTCAGTAAGCACCTGCTCCATGCAAGGCATTGTACATGCTTCCTGCAGTGCCTAAATTCTTTCACAGGACAGGTAAGAATGACAGTTTTCTAAATAAGTGTGTTGAGGTTCAGGCTTACGTTCAGATACATCCTGGATAATAAGATAGTTTTCATGCCCTGTGTAGCATGTGTTCCTTGGCTATTCTTGTTATTTCAGTTTTCTAGTGTGAAACCTCTAGGGACTATTTCAAACTCTGGTCTGTGGGATTCGGAACATGTGCAAGCTGACGTAACCAATTTATAGCAATAGAGCCTGGGTGTTAAAATTGTGCTTATTTCTAACTCTGGCAAATGTATTACTCCCTGTGTGGAAGATCCTCACTTGCTTATGTCTCTGTAAATCCAAACCCTCTGTCTTGGGTTTCTCATCCTAAGTGAGAAGTAATTCATTGCCAAAGGTTCCTTTATTATCAAATTTGGGATGAATTCTGTCACTGGATAATAAATTGCTATATTAGAATAGGCACAGATTTTGTTATCTCAGTTTTCTGTAAGTTTACTAGCTGTGTGATTACTCCAAGCATTGATTTCTTTGTCTGTAGATGGGAGCATACCAAACTTGGAACTTTTCTTTGATAAAGTACCAAGAAACTTGTGAAGTGAATTGGAAATTCAGTGGTCATTGATTGTTACCTGTGTGCAGTCCATTAAGTTAACATGGTTAGAGTTGAATAGAAAATAGGATCATGCTCAGTAGGCTAATGGAGGCAGTAGCATTTTCTAGTGGAAGCTCAACCAGAGAGACCAAAGGAAAGAAGATAATTAGACTTGTAGGTAATGGAGCAGGGAAAACATGCTATATATTCATTGAAACAGTGTTCTCTTAAATTTGAGTAGAACCTCTAGAAAAATTTAAGACATTGTAATTTCTAATGTCTGTTGCTGTTGAATAGCTCTTATAGCACAGCCCAACACAAGACTTGTGAGTGTACTTAGTTTATTAGAAACAATCTGAACAAGTCAGTAGCAGGAGAAAGGTGAGGGGAATGGAAGAGGGAAGGAGAAAGCAAATAAGCAGAATTGAGAACACTGTTATGAGCAGCAGTAGGGCTTTGATTCTGCCCTCCTTAGTTCATTCTAGATGGGGTATGTAATTTACAACTTGTAAATACTAATATTATAATCAGTCAGTTAGAACATTATTAAATGTATGCAATTGAGTCTGATGCATCCCAGTGGTTTTGTTGTTTACCAACCTAAAACCAACACTATTTTTGAAAGGACATGAGAGCTTTGAGGTAACATGACAGACTAGACACTGCCTACATGTGACTTTGTAAAGCAGAGTCAGAATAAGGAAAAGCAAACTCTATCTGATAGAGAAGTTGGAAATCCATGGAGATGGTGTAGACCAGTCTAAAGTATATAGGAAAAGATGAAGAGCGTGCTGAAAAGGGTAAACTAAGTATAGAGCAGTATACCTTTCTAGTAGAGAGAGGGGAAGCAGAACCTACTGAGAACTCAAGAACAATGGCAATGGGTTTTTGATCCTACTGCACGTACTGGCTTTGTGGGAGCCTAGGCAGTTTGGATGTTCACCTTACTAGATCTGGATGGAGGTGGGTGGTCCTTGGACTTCTCACAGGGCGGGGAACCCCGATTGCTCTTCGGGCTGAAGAGGGAGGGGGACTTCATCGGGGGAGGGGGAGGGAAATGGGAGGCGGTGGCGGGGAGGAGGCAGAAATCTTTAATAAATAAATAAATAATAAAAGAAAAGAAAAAACAAAAAGATAAGCCAGGACGCTCTGGTGAAGAGACTGACAGTTCTACTCTTGGAACAAGTGTATAGCATCCACAGCCTTAAATCCAGATGCAGATTTTGGTAAGACAGTAAATGCTCTAGTAGTCAGATCAGCAGTGGAAAGGAATCCTGTTTTATTGCTGGATGTATGTCATCTTGAGAACTTGTTTAAAATTGAGCCTTCTTAGGTGACTGAGAAATAGGACAATCACTAATCACACTGGATTTAACTTGCTACATACCTAAGGTAAAGGACAGCCTTACGTGGCCTATGTGGAAAGGGCTCCCAAGCTTGAAAAGCTTAGGTGACACGAAGGTCTGCCTAGACTTAACTGCATAGAGAAAGGTAGCTCTGTCTCTGATGGCTGGTAACAAACAGCCCTAGAGGTTGTATCTTGGGGTTTGTGATTGCTGTGAAGAGACATCATGACCACAGAAGCTCCTAGAAAGCATTTAATTGGGGCTAGCTTTCAGTTCAGAGGTTTAATCCATTATCATCATGGTGACACGCGGGCAGACATAAGTGCTGGAGAAGCAGCTTAGAGTTCTACATTCAGATTCTTAGGCAGCAGGAAGAGAGACTGATACTAGGCCTGGCTTGAACATTTGAAACCCCAAAGCCAAGCCCCAGCAACACTTTCTTCAACAAGACCACACCTCATAATTGTGTCACTCCCTATGAGCTTATGGAGGCTATTTTAATTCAAACCACCACAAGTTGATAACCCTGAGTCTGACAGGATCAAGGAAAAATCAGCCTCTGGAACTAACTACTTCCCTTCACTGCTGTAGTCTTGAGAGTCTGGAAGATCCCAAAGATTAGTTGTTCAGAATAACCAACTAGTTTAAGGTGTCCTGCTAAGATCTTTGCATCCTGTGAAGATCCAGCAGAATACTTGTCATCACATCTACTTTGCAACAGGTTGATCGGTACTTAAGGATTTTACGAAGTTCAAATGCAGGTCCTGGCACTATATAAATCTATTGTGGGAAGATACTTAAGTGGGCTTGGCTCTGGTGGACTTTAGACCCTTGTGAAGTACAGGCCAACTTCAACTGGCCTTCTCTTGACCTGTGCAGGAAACACAGTCTCTAAGTCTAGAGAACTTGAAAGCCACTCTGAAAATTCTCTTTTTTTTTTCTTTTTGCCCCTGTACCCCTCTCTTAGTTACTTTTAGCAGCTTTTACCTTACCACAGTAAAAAGAAAAACTTGTTCTAATTTTATGCCTTGTCATAAATTCATCTGATTTTGTTGTACTTTTTATTATTGGCCAATCCTATTTTCTCTCTCTCTCTCTCTCTCTCTCTCTTTTGCTCTGTTTGCCACTACCACCCTTCTTTTTATTATACATTATTATTTTGACTTTATCTTTTTTAGGGGGGATTTTGAAACAGGGTTTCTCTGTATAGCCCTGACTGTCCTGGAACTCACTATGTAGACCAGGCTGGCCTTGAGATTAAAGATCTGCCTGCCCCTGCCTCCCAACTGCTGAGGTTAAAGGTATGTACCACCACTGCTCGGCAACTTTATCTTAATAAAAGAAGCTATTCCGTATTGGTTTTATGTTCTCCTTCTCACATTTATGTAACTTTGTTTTCAAGCTTTCCATTACTGGAAAATATTTTCTATTCATTTATTCATCCCTTGCTTATTTTTATTTCCCTTTTACCCCACTCCCTTTTCATCTTAGCAAAGGAGTTTTAAGAAAAACTAAAATGTTAAAAATGAAAAACAAATATAAAACAAAATGTCAATATGCTCAACCAAACAGAGAAAGAATATCAGGACCGGAGGTCAGGTTCAATGAAATAATCCACCCAAACATCAATAGCAAAAAGAAACAAGCATGACTACAAGATCCAAGAACTCTGGGAAATGCTCAAGGACCCAAACTTCAGAATATATATGGAATAGAAGACTAAACAGATTTTTTAAAAAGGCATATAGAACCAATTTTATGAAATTATAATCAAAATTTTCACACATAGAGAAAAAGTGAGCATTCCAATACAAGAGAATTGAGACATGGTCAAAGGAAAACCTCTCTAGAACATACTATGTCAAACGTACAAGATAATATTGAAAGCCTTTTCCCTCTGGACTACCTTTCAAGTCAGGTGAGTAAAAAATAATTATTAATCCTACCCAGCTACCGTGCCCACAAACCATAGTAATAACTATCAAGCAAGATATCCCTAAAGCTACTATAGTGGACATTTCTGAATATAAAGGAAATAAAATTAATATTCCAAAGAAACAATAAAAATCCAATTATTTATTATTTTCAAGACATATACCTCATGTAAATAAACTCACAATCTGGTAGTCAAGGGATGGAAACAGCTATCAAGTAAATAGGTGGGGGGAAAGGCCTGGAATAACTTTAGATATATAATAATAGATTTAATTTCAAAACTAAGATGAAGAGAGTCATTCTATATTACTAGAACAATTTGTGAAGAAGATATGACAAGGAAATACATATTCCCTGGATATTGAGTTCACAGTTTTATAAAACACAACTGACCATAAATGATGAAGTGGATGCCATACAATAATGGTAGTTGACTTCAGCATTCCCATTCATCTAACTAAGTCACATGAACTAAAATTGAGAATTAAACTGTACAAACAGATAAAAAAACAGAATATTCATTCAGTAGTTGAGAGTGCAACTCATGGAATATTCCACAAAACACACCACATTCTAGGATACAAATACACTACATTCAAATCCACAAAACTAGGGTTTTTTTTTCCGCCACAAAATATATTTTGGTCATATTCTTTCCTCTGCCCAAACATTTCCTGGAACCTTCCCACCTTCCTACACAGCCAACTTCATGTTGTTCTTTCCCTCTCCTTTTCTCAGAAAGAGAAAAAAAGAGAAAAAATTAAAATCAAGCAAACTAAAAAAGAAAATAACATTAAAGATACCCAAACAAAACAGCAGACATACTACAGTAGGCTTTG